GTTCCCGAGTGGCTATTGAGAACGTAATAAATGTTTTTTTGAGTGGTAGCTATGGCCTAGTTTATGAAAACTTTGTATACTTCTACTTAATGAACACTTTCAATCCCGCAAAGATTAAATTAGTACAATTCAAATAGTAAATACGTTTTTATTATTCCATTTGAGGCATTTGTGATTACAATGGAAATAGAGTTGTACTGGTTAACATTTTTTTCCCGGCGACTTGGTAGATAGAACAATTCAATTTATATGACATTAGCTTTGTGGGTTTTTTTTGAACGGAAAGATCGGGTTCAGCAAACTTAAAGACAATCAGGGTTGTTGGACTTGAGCAAACTTTTCTGTTCTATGGGACTCTAGTCTATTTAGTAGCACCACCAAAAAGTCTGTTCAGTAGGCTTAGAACGCAGTAGAGATATAAAACATGCCATAAAATATTACAGAGTTTTGTCTTGAGAATGATTTATTCGAGTGACTTTAGAACATAAATTAACAGTTATCAACATCCTTTTAAATTTTTATTATGTTATTTTATTTATATTATTTTTACTTTTTTACAAACACTTGTATTCGATTTTTTACTTTTACGAAATTTATCAAATGAAACATTCCTGTGTAATAATAATTAAAAACAAAATGAGATGATTCCCAGTTGACGGAATTATTTATATATGAATAAATTTTTAAATTGATCCATGACGTTATATATACGTTATTAGACAACTTTTTAAAAAAAATTCTGAATCATTAAATTAAGCATTTAAATCTTAAAATATAATTATTAGTTATTGAAAAAAAATCAAATTAGTCCCGTGAAGTTTTAACGTATTATGATATTTATTTTTATAGAAAATTAAAATACCACTAAAATAATTTATATTGATTATCCGAATATCCAAGACTTGTACCGCACTTATAAAAGATGAGAATAAATTGAAGCGAGAGAGGCGAAGGGAGAAAGAGATTAGTGTTCCGGATTAGGGCTGACGTAAGGAAGAGGAGATCTGGATCTGGAAGGTTGAAGAAGACGAGACTCGAAGAGTAGCGCTGTCCTCCTCCTCACCTGAAATCAAATTCAAGACCGCGTTGCCTTCCTTTTCAGTACCTTCTTTTCAAACCCAAACAGCGCTTTGTTATTTTCATTTTTAAAATAGGCATTGATTTGTTCCCATTTCCATTCCAATGCCTATTTTAAAATGAAAGCAACAATACACTGTTCTCGTTTGAAACTATTGTAAAGGAACATAACGCTGACGAGTTCTTCAATTTGATTTTAGCTGACGAGGATCTTTTTATACTTCCATTCAACAATCGCTTTTTTCTATTCGTACTCTCTGTGCCGGTAAACTAACTTTTCTCTAATTATTATACTCACCTTTATGTCATAGTGTTGTAAATTGAAAGAGATAAGAAAAATGTCATAGTTGAAAAGTTAGATGAAATTTTAAATTGATTTGTGTTTTGTGCTGTTATAGTTGAAAATATTGTTTTCAAGTGTTTTAAGGGCCTGTTTGTTTTTGCTTTTAAACAAAAACATGTTCCGTAACAATGTTTTTTGAAAAATGTTTTCGAAAATAGTATTATCTACTTTTCAGATTTTTAACTATAAATTAAAAACACGAATGAGTTGTTATTGTTCTGTTTTCTACCTTTCTGTTCCCGAAACAAAGAAAATACGGAGAACAAATGGTTCATCAATGGAATTAATTATTGGACAATCACAAAACAAATTATTTTCATTGTGGCTTCTGATTCAAGTCCTCTCCCTCGCTTCAATCTGGCCACCATTACCTGCTTGCTGCCACCGTTGTTCTGATCTAGACTCTGCTTCTTGGCATGTTGCAATTGCGTTGAGAACTTTGTTGTGTGACTGATGGGTTGTTGGTGGTGGATGAATTTGCAGGGTTCATGGATTTGGTGACTGGATATTGGTGTAGGGCATTTGGAATGTAAATGAAATAATATAGCATATTAGAAATCATCTTTTACTAAGTTCTCTCACTTTTAGTTTGTCTTGTTAACTGCAAATGCAGAATACCTGGAGGAATCGGCAACGAGTGTGAATTTCAGACATCTTTGGTTTTTCTGATTTGCTGAGATTTATTATTATTACTATTTTTATTGGAACTGATTAGTATTTATATTTTATAGTATCATATGACAGGAAGTTAAAATCATAAACATGCTCTGAGCATGTGAGAAAAGATTAACTGGACAACAAGTATAACCTGGTCTGTTAATGTTAAAAGATACATGTTGAGCAATTCCATATATTTATGGTGACCAGGATTTGTTTTTTATATCTTGTGCTTCAGACACTTTTTGGGGTCAAAGGGAAGAAACTAAATGGGTTGATATCCTGATGAACTTCTTCTTGGACATGAACTTTTAATTATAATCCTTTGAAACACTTGCCCAGAAATTTCACGTCATTGCTTAAGGCATTTTAATTTGATAATAACTTTTTGCCTAAACCTAAATTCAAACCACCTATGAGAAGCACTGCAAAGTTAATGCTTTCTACTGAATCATTGTGATTTCAGGTTTGTTTCCTTACAAGGGCTACCATCTTACTGTGGATAATGCAATAGGATCTGCTAGTGTGACGTGTGCTCTTAATGATATATTCCATAGTCCTGTCTCTCCCTCCTTGAAAGCTTCAGTGGCTGAGGCATGTTAAAAGTACTCATGTAGAAAATGTTGTATCTATTGATAAAATTTCATGCGTCCACGTATTCCTGATACGGTTCAATTTTTGACTGTATTGCTGCAGCTCATTTTCTCCGGATGTTAGGGCTTCAGATTCTAGACGGTCCACTGACGTATGCGTTTCGTACAATTGGGAGCTGAAATTGGTTCCATTAATTATTTTCTGGTGATTTAAAATATTTCGTTTGGACTTTAAAATTACACTCTTTCATGCAAAATTGGCCTATTTCTTTTAGAAAGAAGCGCGTCTTTATTGGTATCAGTTTATACTCGTGTTTCTCTGACCAAAACTACGTGACTTCCTGGCATTTTCGACTTAAAGCTTTGGTTGATTGGAATGTAATATTGTCGAAGTAAATTCCCAAATTTACATTTATTTTACATGCACGAAAATTTCGGAATTCACTATACTTTTTGTTATCATTACACGTAGTTTAAATTTTAATCTGTATCTATTTTTTGATAAGCTGTTTAATAGTGTTCAGAAGTTTATATATCCAATCTTATATGATTATTGAAATTATTAAATATTTAAAGTGAAGGTGCATTGTCAGCTTAGGTGAATTTTAGTTGCACTGTTAATTTTACATGTAAAAGAAATTTTTGGAACAAGTTCAAAGGAAATGTTTATTGTTCTCTAATTTTAAAATTGTTTTTAAACAGTGTTATATAATGAATTTTTATATGTTAAAATAGTTCTCTAAAACGACTTTACAAAATAGTTAAAAATAGCATGATCAAACACAGGACACATATGGAGGGGGACAAGTGCGGAGTATCGGATCTTGACAAAATCCCCTCCCAAAATTTTTAAGATGATATATGTTATAATTTTTAATATCAAAATGTATAATTTTATAATTTATAATTTTAAATATATCTGTTAATTAATTTTTATATATTTAATTTGAATGTTCATAAGAGTAGTTTTAAATTTTTGAATAATATATCTTTGGATTTCTTTTATATTAAGCATTTTATTAATGGATTCCAAATAATCTAGTTACTAATGTCAATTTTTATATTTATAAATTTGAAATTCATAAATCAAAATTGATGCGTTGCCACTTATTGATTCACATAATTTTTATTATAATTTACTAATCGATTTTAGAAGGTTTACCTCTTTAATATGCAATGCACACACAAAAAATAAAAACATTCTTAACAATTAAAATGTCTCTTATTATACTTGATTTTTCCTCCTCCTTAATTATTATTTTATATATTTATATAACATTTTTTTTCAAAATACATATAAAATGTGCAAATATTTAGTAATATATGATAAAATTTATTTGATTTTCGGTCCTGCCCTCATCTATATTTTGAATTGGCCCCCAAATCAAACACCCAAATTAGCAGCCAAACAGCTTACAGTAGTAAGAGTATAATTATATTTGCATAAAATTTTCACAATATTTTTTAATAGTATTTTTTTTCTCTGCCCTCATCAAATCACCCATCTTATTTTTGTACCAAATAAAACTATCCATCTTTTTTTTTTTTTTTTACAATTTTATCTTTTCTCTTTCTATCTTCATCATAATTATAAAATTTGTTTTAGAAATAAATTTATCTTGTTAATAATGGTTGGTGACTACAGTTTACTCTAGATAAGGAAAAGAATTAGAAGTTGGAGTCTGTCTACAGTCCGATAATGCTTTCAATTTTATCATCCGAACGTAAAAATTGATGCCGAATATAATATTATACATAATAATTTTTAATCTTTTTACGCACAAATTTTAAAAATATCAGTTTCATGTTGAAAGAATATCTTATATTTGATTGAAGCATATGGCCGGTGAACTGAACCTGTGCACTAAGAAGTAGCAAAGAAAAACCTGTGAGCATGAGGTCTGAATTAGAGCCTAATTAGCAAAATTCGGCAAGCTACGCATGAGGCATGGACATCATTTGTAAAGATAAAATCGAGTCCTACATAAAATTGAAAAAAATGTCATAATATTTATTTACAGTGAATCATCATATACCCCAAAACATGGAAAAACTGGTGTTAGCACTAACCCAACCTATTCAATTTTCGTACTGTTAGCATAATTCCACTGTGGAAAAAAAATCGAAATTTAAATTAAAAAATAACTGACCCAAAATCCCAATGGAAAAAAGAATTTACAAGTCCACTGCATGCTTAGGTACAAAGCTACACGTTGTTGGAGGTTTTCGATCCCTTTCTGCCGCATCCAAATTTGAGTTGGAAAACTGAATGAATATGATATCCAGCAGCAGCCATTGATGCACATTGAAACAACCCTCGTGATCATATTTCATTCTTCAAAAAAGTGTCTAGAAGAGCGATATAAATCATAAGGAGCCCATAGATGGTCAACGATGCATGGCTTCCAAGAATCTAACCTCAACCAGGGTTTACCCTTCCCACTCCAATGCAAAAGACTAATGGGTCCAGGGTGAAGGCTCCTACATTTTCCTTCGAAATTATCTCCACCCAAACCATGCTGATTCCATCGATGATCAACGGCTTTTATATTCCCTGCCAAAACCAACAAAAAGGGTGGAAGAGAACCCAAATGGTAGATCCTCTTCTGATGCTTCTGCACCGCCATCCATTCCTCCACCTTCTCCGTGTACATTTCCTTTCTCCACATATCCACATTCATCACCATCACCCCCGTGTTGAAATAACACGGGTTCCTTCCCTCAAACGTCTTCGACATAACCGGGTCTGACCAAAAACTCTCCGTGAAATACAACGTAAAATTTGCATGGCAATACTCAGGCGCAGCCACCACCTTGCCTTCCATGTCAACACCCCAAAGCTTAGCTATATCATCCACCACAACGAGGTCAGAATCCAAATATATAACGCGTTTCACGTCCTCTGGTATAGTATCGGCAAGGTATATCCTCGCGTAATTCAAAGGCTGGTCCAAGGCCTGTCGAATCGACTTAGAAATCTTGCCACGAACCCGGTCGGAATCAAAGCGATAAATCTTCATGTTGAGATAAGGGAAGGTGGATTTGATGCTGGAGAAGAGTTCGGGAGCGTCGTGCGCAGAGAGGAAGAAGAAGGCAAGGTTTTCGGGGCACGTGGAATGCTGCAACATGGACAAAACTGCAGCCATGGTTCCTCGGAGGTAGTTAACGTCGAGGGTCATTGCCACGTTGATTATGTCGGCGGGTGAGGACCCACATTCCTCACCGTTTCGGAATGCGGGGGCTTCCCGGAAAAGAGGAAGGTCCGGAGAGGGAAGGCGGAGGAGGCCGAAGCGGATGGCGGAGATGGGGTGGATGAGCGACAGGAGGCCAATTAGGAGTTTCCAAAAGACCATCCTGTCTTGTACGAGGTTTGTGTCGTGTGTGTTTTGAACAATGGAATGTTTGGGATAAAGGGAGAAGACAAAGTAAATCTTCTCCGGATGAAGAGATATGATTGTGATGGATTTGCGACTGTGAAATTTGTTGTGAGGATGAGAGCGAGTCTCGGACTCTATCTTTGACTGGGGATGGACTAATTTAGAATTTAGAAACTTGGCTTTCAGCTGCATTCGATTCAGGTCAGATATCTTTTTTCTTTCTTTTCTTGAAATAGTTTTCATCCTTTTCATTCTCTTTTGTATAGCTATTAAGATTAGAAGGTCTTGGTAATGGTCGCATGACAGACTCAAAAACAAGGTGGCTCCACATCTCCCGCGCTCTGCTTTTTTAATTTGGACGAAAAAACAAAAAATATATATTTTAAAAAATTATTTTTTTCTCTCATCTTTTGATTTCAAGCAGAGGGTTAATTTCCTTATTGGGGGTAAAGTGCGTGAGGAGATAGCCGTAGACACTGATCACTGATGAGCATCACTGACATGACATGACACCAACTGATAGATATCCTATCCATTTGTGATCACATTTGCACTCTCACCCTAATGGACTTCACAAGGACCAACTGTTTTTTCATATTATTTTAATAAAATTAATTTTAAAAAACCCAATAATGATTTAAATATACTTCTAATTTTTTAATTTTTACAAATTTTTTATTTTTTAATCTATATATATTCATACAATTTAGATGATTTACTCACACTCACTAATATAAATAATTAATACGTGGCAGTTTTTTTTTTTATTAACTACGTCGTTTTTTTTTTTTTGCTAATAACTACGTCGTTATTTAATGTTTAAAATATCAAACGTTAAATAGGGAAAAAAAAGAAAAAAAGCAAACATTCTGATAAAATATAAAACTCTAACCATAAAATAGTTTTTAAAAGTTAAATAAAAACTATAAAATATAAGGATTAAAATCTTTTATTTTGTCATGGAACAAATTTTTTTATGAGAAATTACACATGGAGAATTAATATGAATATTATTTTCATTGCAAATTTTAAGAATTAAATAGAAAAAAGTCTTCAATTTGATCGTTTAAAAATAAAAGTGTCAATAAAATAGATTCTTCAAATATTGATCATTCAAAAAGTTTATTTGATACCACGTTAGTTTTCTAAATTTTTTATCACTTAAATTAATTTTTTTTACCACTTTAATTTTTTTATAATAATTAATTTGATATAATTTTAGTATAATTGACTTAAATATTTAATTTATCACAAAGTCAAACAATTTTTTAACCATTTTAATCCTTTTAAGAATTAACGTGGTGATATTTTAAATTTTTAAATGACTAACTAGATAAATAAGTTAATTTTTAAATGATTAGTCGTGACAAAATATTTGAAAAATCAATGTACTAACTATTTAAATCATTAAAGAACCAATTTAGCAGTTCGTTTTAGAGGATCTATTTAATGACACTTTTATTTTCGGAAGGTCAAGTTGATATTTTTTTCTTAATATATATATATATATATATATATAAATTTTATATAATGATACTTTCATATATTGCAGAGATATTTAATGGCATTGACAAGTTGTGCAAATTCTTTTTTTCACCGAAAAAAATGCGATTCTTGCATTGATTTTATTCTATTTAATATTATTAGACTATTATTTTTTTCATATAATTATGATAAATTTATTGTGTGATTTTTTAAAAAATATTTGAAAGAAAAATTTGGACAATATTTTAAATAAAATTAAGTTGTGTAATTATAATTTGAATAAAAATTAATTTTTAATATTTTGACTGGATTTTAAGGTTTGGATTAATGTGTTTTGAGAGAAAAAGAGTTTAAAACACATTAATTAATTTAATATATTGGAAAATCTAATTAAAAATGTGAATTCAAAAATTTTAAGTGAAAAAAATTGACAAAAAAACTAAATTTCCATAATTTTAAAAAAAACTTAAGTAACTTAAAAAAAACCATATTCGTACATATGCATGGTTTTTAAGATTGAATAATAAAGGAGTGAATTAATGGGAGTGTGTACAGATCCTTTTTGGTCAATTTTGAAATACAAACCTATTCTATCTGACCATCAAAAATCTTATAAATAGGTTAATTTAAACTAATCTAATTCATTTTATTTTATTTTTTGATTGGAAGGATATAATTTTAATTTTTGTAACTTTTTTCAGGGTTACACTTTTTTTCATTATCAATCAGGAAAAAAAATATTAATTAAAATAGATATACTCTATATCCCTACAAGATATTGATAGAATAAAAATCAGATATTATAGAATAACATGTTTTAGATTATATTAGTTGATGCTGATGTTATAAAGTAATTTTTAAATGTTGTTTAAAATTTTTAGAGATATTTTGTCGCTATAACACGCAACTCGTTTTAGGTTTAAAAATTTAAGAGAATAATAGAAATACAATATAAGTCTGGTTTCAATTCGATCCTATTTTACAATTAAAATTTTCTTTATGTTATAGTAATATATGTGGAAAATCAACTAATAATATATTAGTATTTAAAATAATTTCTCGATAAATAAGTAATGAAATTTGATAATGTTTTCTACACCTTTTAAACATGGGAAATTTATTCACTATTTCAAATATTTAAATTATATACAATACAAACAAAGTTTGGCATTCCTCCAATATCAATTGTATATATACCCTTTTTTATATCAATAAATTTACATATTATCTTTAAAAAAATAACGTACAATATATTTTCGCATATTACAGGAGTCACTGTTCTAGTATTTTCAATGTCCAAATTTGCACAAATGTTAGGGCAATTCAGAATTCATTTTTTTTTGGGTGTAATCATAAAAAAAATAATATGATTTGATTTCGGATTGATTTAAATATAATGTCAAATTTAATCTAATTAAAAATATTTTAGATTAGATTGAATGATTTGATCTTTATATATTTAGTTTTAAAATAGTTTATTTTGTTAACATATGCCATAAATAATTATTTTTATATTTGTTTATATATAAAAAATGTGTATTTTGGAAAACTAAATCGTAATAAACCAAATAAGTATTATAATTTCAGAAATATATAATTATATATGTATAAATAGAAATTTTAACTTCATAAATAAGAATGTATATACAGATGTGAATCAGTTCGATTGAATTAAATTGAATTTACTTTAAAATTGAATTAAAAGTTTTAGTTATTTTATTAATGTTTTTTACATTGATTGACGACCCTAATCTAACACGAGTAAGTTCACACTTGACAGCATAATCAGAAGAATATCAACACAGCCACAATTAATGCAGCCACTAAAGAACAAAATTGCAAGGTGAACTCTCTACAGTAAAAGCAACGCGATCAAGCTTGTGAAGTAGCTCTCATGTAACTTTTCTTGATCACAAACTGGTAGTGATAAGGTCCTACTCCTACCTACCACTTCAAAATTCAAATAGTTGCAGCCATGACATCCAATATCTCAGACACCATAAAATGGCTGTCCAAGATTATTATCCTTTCAGCATTTGCTCACAGTGATTGAGTCACTTCTTTGTCTCCAGAAACTCAAATAAAATGCACCCTCTGCCCCTGTACATGCCTTACACACACCCTGGCCCCTACAATCACAAAGATCAAAGCAAAGAGACAAGCATGCCAACATTCAAAACTGCTCTCTACCCACTTCACAATTCACACACAAAACCTCTCATTTACAACTAAAACCCTTTGTGGTTTGGTTTTGTCATGTGCCCATCTTCCATGTCAGCGCCACGTCAACCTCCTCTTGTTGCCACTTCATATCATATTGCTTAATGCTTATTGGATGTAAATTGTAATTGCCATCAAAAGTGGAATAAAAATTTCCTAAATTGCACGAGTATTTTTATGGATGAAAACTTGGGAAATCTCAAAATATGGCACATGAATCTGAGTGAAGAGGACATAATTGGGTACAGCATACTTGTATTGTACGGGAAAGTGAACCAATAAGAAAGACACAACAGACAAACATGGAGAGAGAGAGAGAGAGTCACGCAGGAGAATGATGCTTGGGGTGAAGCAATCAAGAGAGATTCGAGTTTTGGAAGAAAAAATAGACAAAGACACGCATTTGTATTCAAAATGAGAGAGGTTTGGTTAAAGCACGAGAGGAATGATGTGGCGTGTATGGGAGGAAGGGTTTTATCATATAGTGAGTATTGTCTTCTCTCTCTCTTTCTATTTGTATGGGTATGTTCAATTGTTCATCTTTCGAGATAGATTTAGCCCTGGCATTGGCAGGGCTCGAGGTATCCCATTATTATACCTTACAAAGGAACTACAATAATTTGGTCACCTTGGCTTGTGGTAAGGGACCATTTGTTTTTGTTATTGTGGGACTTCCTATGAGATTGGCAACTTAAAAGTTCAGAAACTGTCTTGTTTGCCTCAAAAAAAATCTTAAGCACACCTACGAGGAATCATTCTTGTGGGAGCCATCCTTTCTAGTTTTAGATTACTATTTACTGCTGCTAACCCTCTTTTCTGATAAATGTCTCTTTCCAATACAATATGGACCATTATATGGTCTCCTCTAAGTTCATACTTGTTTAATAAGATTAAAACAATTTTAAAAATGAATCTAATCCAGTTCGGTTTAGAAAGAAATCTCTTTATTTTATATTTGCATGGTTGATTTTGCCAAAATTTACATTAAGCATGTTCATACAATCATCAAAACCCCACTTTGACAATAATTGTTATATGTTAGTCTCAAAATCCCTCGACACCTAGGGTACAATGAAAAACTCTATTATACCGACACTTCAAAAATTATAACGTATACTTGTCGTATTTGTATTTCATATCAATATACATACAATACATTTGTACTCGTATTTACTGCATATTGTTCTTGCTTGTTAGTTTTGATCTTCGAGATAATTATGCTGTTTAACTATCTATGTGATATTTTTTATTTTTAGAAAGTTAATATTTAACTAAGATTTACCCAAAAATATAATAAAAATTTCGATATGAAAAACATAATTATAAATATTCTACTCTACTCATATCTTAATATTTTAAAATTTTATTGTATTTATGTGTCGTATCATACCTTATACTCGTATATGTATATGTGCAATAGATAAAAAATAATAGAAAATAGAGAGGTTGCATTATCGGGAATGTTATGGCCATAAAAGATTTTGTTTTCTTCATTTTCCTCCAATAGCTTGTAGCAGTAAGTGCACGGGATTAAAGTCCAGTTTATCCTGAACTCCACATGATGTTTTCTTTTATTTATATTTTTGTAGATAGAGGAGGGAAAAGTCAAAGGAAAGGAATAAGACGTATGAGACCCACACTAAATACTAATGAAGCTGTATCCAATGATATTGAGTCCTGGAAAGCTTGAGAATAATGTGCCTAGATACAAAGATAAAGATGAATGAAGAAGGCAACAATTTAAATTCATGGCTTCTTGGGTCATATTGAAAACATGATAAGGGAACCCTTTCCGAATTTTGAGTTGTAGAATGGTGGGCACCCTGGCAAGCATTTTGGGAATTTTTGTGCGCATGATACAGTAGCACTTCTGTGATGCTCATTAGTTGTGCACACTCAAAAATTCCCACACCATAAACTACTAACCCATTTTGTGTGTGTTTGTGAGCTTATTCGCCGCATGTGTGCCAAAATATGCGCATGCTAGCAAGTATGGCGGCTTAAGCCCGCTTGCTCCTTACCAACTAATGCCACTGTCTCGAAGCTAAGGGCATGGAGGGGACCACATGTCTCCCAAATCTAATTAACACTTGAAACAAACATGGACCCAAGTGTTACATGAACTTGGACACATGCTAGATGATGTGTAATCCCATGGGACCATCCATGGTGCTTGTCGGGGGGCAATTAGTGGGACCAATCATGGGTTTTGGGTTTGTATTATTATCATGATTTCGGCTAAGGAATGAGAAGGTAAGTAAGAGAAAGGGGTGATGTGGAGGAGAAGGATGAGGATGTGGCATTCAACCTTGTAGAGGTTTAGAAAGTTGTCACTACTTTTGGTGGGGTCAAATTTTTGGATTAAGGAGAGTTTCGAGTTTCAACTCTCAACTTTTAACTCTTCCTTTTTTTTCGTTTTTGACATATCCTTTTCTTTGTCTCTTCAAATTACCAAAGTCCTCGCCAACAATTAATTTATGAGGCCTAAGATTTGGCTTGAAACTTTTTATGTAAAAAGGTGGATTGTTTCGTTGAGAGTTTGTTTTCAGACTTTTTAAGTAAGATTTGATGCACTACTTGGTTGACCATTTTCTTATTCTTTTGTGGTGGATAGATACATACATATGTGAGGGAGTGACTGTGTATGCAAAATTGTAAAGCGTGTGTTTTTAGTGTGTGTTGGTATGTTGGGGTTGGGTACCTTGCGTGTGAGAGTGAGAGAGTGAAAGTGTGGGCTTAGGAGATAGTGTTTGAGTTTGGTGGTGCGCGTGCATCAAGAAGAGGTGGATTGTGGTCATAATGGAGGCTGCCAGCCACACCCAAAAATTTTATTTATGAGGCCATACATTCTGCATCATTTCTACCTCTCAAAACTGAAAATTTTGATTCTGAACTCACAAATTTTCATCATTGCCTTGCCTTCCCCCAACCTTTCTCTACTCCTTTTTTACCGTCAAATTTTGTTTATTCATTCCCCTTCTACCATTTAATTCTAGTGTATAACCTTTTTCTATATTTCTTTCTTTTTAAAATAACCCTTTCTGCTTATCTTTATTGTAATTGAAGGGAAGCTTCTGCATTAGTGATTATTATGCTGAATAATTGATATAATCTTGGCAATACTCTTAAATTGGAAGTTAAGGAGACCACCCATATGATGAAGAAGATAGATTTAAATGTAGACACAGACCGGCTAGCAAAACTTCCTCTAAAAGACCATAAAGCACTAATTACTCCCTTTTACTTCGCAATTACTGTTCCTCTCTCATCAAACCAGTTAAACATTATGATCCAAATCAACTTAATGTCCGACCAAATTGAAAGAGAGTTATTATATATAATTGAATTGGGGTTTGGTCAGAAACAAATTTGCAAACTAAACACCATTAATAAGCTGTGTTTAGCGGAAAACATAAAAAAAATAAAAAAAGCTTAGACTAAGACGTATCCGATGGTACTATAACATAAGTCACCAAAAATATTCAAAAAGATCTCAACTTAGCATAATGATAAACGCTATTTAATTGTTTTATAACCCAGGCTTTTTAAAAAGTAATCACTTGGACGATAAAGAGAATCTTTTTTTTTTTTTTTTAATTTCGATGCTGATATGGTTGCATGCATGCTTTGCTAAATACAGAAAACAAGTTGATAAAATAGATAAAATAATGATAATGCCACTTAGCTACATGAAATTGCATGAAGAATAAAAATGATGTGAGTGCTTTTTCATTTCACGTACGGGCCTCCCTCATTCAAGGATATTCTCATTATTTGCATGCCACGCCTGATTCCTTTTGGTTTTTTCTTCCTTTTTCCCCCCCTTCATATATATATATATATACTTTTATTTTTTTTTATCTTGTGCATAATAATAATTATAATTCTAACCCCAAATATGGATGACATTTTGGGCACGTCAAGTTTTTTGTTAATTAACGCCTGCTCTCCTAGGAATAGACAATGTTGTCTCCATCATCTGAGGTGTTTTCACCTTTCCATTATGCAGTAGCCATTATCAGTTCTAGAGTGTGCTCATATCAAACAAAGTCCCAAGTGATTGGTACTTTTATTTCCAACTTCACTTTTTGGTTGCAATTTAACTATGTTTGTTCTGTGTTTTTAACCCCTGCCGCCAGTAATGTAGCTCTAATTAGAACGATCTATTACCTCTACAGAGCCAATAATTATTGTCTTGCAGAACAACAATACAACATCTAGCTCTAGTTTATGATTATGTTTCGATTTTATTAAAACTATCATTCAAATAGTTATGTTTGAATGTTGAATTTTGACTCGAATCCAAATTCCTTTGAACGACCATGATGTAAAACACTTACTAAATCTTAATTTGCTTTGTCATTTTAAAAAGAACTTCATGTTATGGTTCCAATACAGCTATGCTCGACATTTCCCTGCATCACTTCAACCAATTATTATAGTCAAAACAGGCCCACCTTAACCTTCAAAGTTCAAATTCCATTAAATTTCCCCCTAGATGAAATCTTAATAACAAGGAAGAGAATTAACTTTACATGCCAGAAATCCCAAATAATATTTTTTTTTCTTAAACCACTAAAGCTAGTTAATTAATAATAATGCTAGACTACTATATCATGAGCAAGTAAGTTGGAGAACTGTTTGAAGTGATGATTGAGCATATTTAAATTATTTAATTGAATACAAAATCTATTTGGGATAAAGAAAAGACAGAAAAAGCACTATTGTAGTGTATTATTGGAAAATAGCCAGAGCCATAACTAGAAATCTGTAACAGTGATGGAAGTTAGTGGAGAATAGGAAGTGACAAAGGAGCAAAAAATTGGTAAGCGTGGGCTTAAATTCCGTTGGCTGTTGCTTTCGCGGATGGAAGAGAAGATTGCACTTAAAAAACTTAACAACAAATTGTTGCACATCATCATCCTATTCACTTCATTATGCCTACAATCATGATTCTTGGTTCCATCACCCGCATGCTTTCTTCCAAACACCCTCACTACTACATCTTACACACTCTCATTCTGATTCGCACACACCTATAAATCCCATTGACCCCCCCAATCCTTTCTCTCACCTCAAACTCAACCTTCCAATCAAATCTTTGATTTTCTCTCTCACTCTCAGCTACCTTTATCTCCTAATAAAGCCACTCACTCTGTTTCCTCTGTTACATCCCTCTCTCCCTAACCACACAAAAAACATTGCAATCCCAATCCAATGGCTGTCTCTGGCTTTGAAGGGTTCGAGAAACGCTTGGAGCTCCATTTCTTCGATGACGATCCAGCCATCTTCCAACTGGGTCTAAGAAAACTCGACTTTGAATCACTAGAACAAGTCCTAGAAGCTGTCCAATGCACTGTTGTTTCAGCAGTTGGCAACTCTTACTTTGATGCCTATGTTCTATCAGAGTCAAGCCTCTTCGTTTACCCAACCAAGATCATCATCAAGACTTGTGGAACAACCCAACTTCTCAAATCCATTCGTCCCTTGATCCACCATGCTCACCGCTTAGGCCTCACTCTCTGTTCATGCCGCTACACCAGAGGAAGCTTCATCTTCCCCATGTCACAGCCTTTCCCTCACACCAGCTTCAAGGACGAAGTCACCTACTTGCAAGACACCATTCCCCAGAATCTCTGCTTCAGAAAAGCTTCCATCATGCCCTCTAAATCTTCTTCACACTCGTGGCACGTTTTCACTGCCAACAGTAACTCTCACTCTCACACTCCCATGCCTTACGATCATGACAATGAGTTATTCACCATGGAGATCTGCATGACCGAGCTCGACCCCATCCTCGCCCGAAAATTCTTCCGCCCACCCGAGGACGGAAAATCCGGCGACTCTGCCGGGAAGGAGATGACGGAGCTCACGGGGATCAACGAAATCAACCCACACGCACTTATCTGTGATTTCGCGTTCGACCCGTGTGGCTATTCCATGAATGGGATGGACGGAGATTGGTACTCCACCATTCACGTCACTCCTGAGGACGGTTTCAGCTATGCAAGCTTTGAGTGTGTCGGTTCCGTTAACGACAACATAGGACACGTGTTGAGGAAGGTGGTTCAGATTTTCCGACCTGGTACTATGTCCATATCCACCACGAGCAATGGCTACGGCAACGAAATATGGACGCAGATGGCGAGTGCGGTGGAGCCTCTCGGGTTCAAATGCAGGAGTTGCGCAATGGACCAGTTCCCTGCAGCGGGTACAGTTGTGTTTCAAACGTTCATGCCTCGCCGGAAAGTGTTTAAAGCTGGTGGCGGTGGTGGTGGCGGTGGCAGTGACGGGGAAAGATGATAGGTGGGAAGTTAGAGTTAGTCGAAAATTTTAGGGGGTGGTGACGTGGCATAATGTGATTGATTATGAAGGATGATGAATGTTGGATTGACTTTGTTTAGAGAGAGAGAGTAAGTGATGTACAAGTACAAGAGGTTAGAGATGAAGAATGGATTCATTCATCTTTGGAATATTATCAAAAAGGGGAAGTAAGGTAAGGGAGAGTGGGGAAGGTTGAGATACTGCCATGATCATCATAATGCACCCCACTTTGCCTTGTCACGCCTATAATTTTTGAAGATGTGTAGTGGGTGTAAAAGTGCTCTTGTTTGAGGTTATATTCAACTTTCTTTCATCTTTCTTTCCCCCTTCTTCTACCCCTTTTCACTCTCCTATTTTATCTTCTTTCTTGTCTTTATGTTTTGTTTGTAGATTATTAAAGAACAAAATCACACTTCTTTCCAACATTTTTTCTACATCTGTCTATATTTAATATTTGTCATTTCTCTTTACTTTGTTACATAGGAGTTCAACTATAAAAAAGAGTAATAAAGTTTTAAGTTGTTATATCACCTTTTATATTTTATTGTAATGACTTTTTTTGTCTTCATTTATAAAATCATTTCAAATCTTCATATTTCAAATTCATCAACAATTTTTATTATTTTTAGAATTTTGAAATTAATTCACTTGCATATGCTTTAGCTTTATGTAGATCTAACAAGTAAAACAGATCGGTGCTATGCTGGTTTCATTTTCTATATAACACTTCAAGTCCACATGACCATAATTGCATGCTATATAAAAGGCAAATAGATAACAAAAGTAGGAGACAAGTAGAGCAACCACAATAATATGTTATAAATTCTTAGTTTTCCTTTTATAATCTAAGAGATCTTCCAAAAAAGTTTCATAATTAGTATACTCCATTGGTATAATACAAGTTTCGAGTTACTCACCCAAACCCTCAAAGGCATAAATACAATTCATTAAACATTGCATTTTACAAACTACCATTTTTTTTAACAGACTAAATTTAAAAATAATTACGGATAAGTGCAAACATAATAGTTGAAAACTTATTCAAGTGTCTAATTAATTATTTAATTTTAAGTCAAAATTAATTTTAACATTGTAAAATACCTTCCAATGTAAAATATGCGATTCAAATTAATTTAAATAAGTGTCTTAATAGTGTTAATTTAAGGGTTTAAATTAATTTTATCAAAATATAAAATAAATAGATACTAAATTATTCATTTAAGATATTTACTTAAATAAAACTAAATTGTATATGAAAAAAAAATATTATATTACCATAAATCAAGTGAAGTTTTACCTTTCAACTGTTCTCCCTTCTCCATCTTTTCATTTATATTTTATCTCACGTGTCTCTTTTACCTTTTTAGTTTTAACTTCCATGTATTCTCATTTTCATGATCCATCCTTATCCTTTTTTCTCTGTACAGTTTTTTTCAGTACACCACTCTTAAAATTAATTAATTTGGTATTTATTTAAATGATAAAATATTTCTTATTTTTAATATTTAAATTTCAATATAATCTCTACTAATTTCAGTTTTTGGGGTGTGATTTCATTTCATTTTTTATTTTATAATTTTTATGGTTAATTATTGTATATAATTAATAGATATTTATATTAATACTAATTAACAAATAGTATAGAATCATACATTAAATAGATAGCCAAAATTTTATTGATAATATAAATGCAGTGTAATATTGGTTTTAGTATCACATTTTAAAACCGATTTAATGATAAATTTTAAAATAATAACAATTAAATATATCTTATAACTAATATTTTCTTGTTATATAGATACATGATAATGTTCAATTTTTATTTATTTATTTGTTTAGATATCAAAGTATATACCAATTGAATTTAATTGAAATGTACTGATAATATAAATATTTTTTACAAGGTTATCCAATATAAAATTATCACATCAATAGTAATCTTGGACTTTTGTAGTAATTTAAGTCAGATAATGGTATAAAATTTTTACACTAACAGTGTACTAAAAAAAATGTCAATAAATGATATACATATAAAAAAATGTTAGAATTACAATACATTTTAAACACGTGTTTATTGATTCAATTTTTCAAAAATATTTTTTGTAAAAAAACACTAAATCTATGACTACTGTAACAAGATGAAGAATATTGTTGGTAAAATACTTACAATTTATAAACTGAAAAAGAAAATGCTTAAGCTTATGAGGTTGATCTGTGCAGTAGTCAAAATTTATAGTGATTATACACTAATTTCTTTTCTAAATTTCTAACACTTGACAAACTGTATTGATTTGATTCTTCTTTTTGAGCAAATTATTGGTTTGATTAAGTTTCTAGTCCATGTCTCATTTCGGTCCAAGTCAAGGAAAAGCCCAAGTTTTTGATTCAAAAAGGAAGAACCTGACTTTCCTCTAAATCGCATGTTACTGAATCATAATTTTCAAAATGCCTATTAAAATTTGAAATTACGAGTTAGTTTATTTTAAAAAAATATAAAAATATCATTTTAATTCCAAAGTTCCCAAGAGAATAGCTATTTTAATCTTTGAAATTATAATAATAAAAATTAGAATATTTTGCGTCATCAACCCAATTTAATTAAAATAGGGTACAAAGTAGCTCTAAAATTTTGAGTTTTTATTTATATGATTTAGGTATATATAGTTTTAAGACTTAATATTTCAATGCATTAGATTCACCTACTCCTTTTTCATTATAATTTAAGTAAAAATTGATCATATTAAAATTTTGAATGAGACAAGGGTCAAAGTAAACACAATTCCAACCTATTTTATTAACATCTTTAGTTAAATTATTGACATATGAGACTGTAGACAAATCTATCATAGGTTTACAGGGTATTTAATTAATTTGAGAACTGTGTTCATTTTGTATTCATTCTAACTCAGCTAGCATAAGTCTCTCATCAACTTTGGAAGAAGTTGGATCAAATAATATGAATTGATAGGCATAATTAAAGTAAAAAATTACCCACAACATAATTTAAACTTAGAATATTACTTAAAAGGACTTAAACATATATTACTTAAATAATCACGTGATAGGACTTTTTTTAAAAATATTCTATAAAAATCTTTCTCAATTTATATAATAATATGATATCATATTTTTTTATAAACTTAATTTTCTGTTATTATAAAAACCAAGGAATGAAAATATAATAAAAATAGAAAAAGTATGATATAATTTCATTAAATTTTAAATAATGTGAATATAATTTGCAATTTTTAGATTGAGCAAATTCAAGGTCTTGAATTCGGCCAAAAAGAATATATGAAAACGTTTTAAATAAGAGTTTTGCTATTTACTAAAACCAACCTCAGTACAAACTTGCACAAATACACATGGATAGATTATACTGATCATGTATAAGTTAAACAAGAGAAAAAGTAAATTTTACTTGACAGAAATTACGGATAAAAATTGTGAGTAACTGTTCGTACAATTTTTGTATTTTTTTTACTAAACTGTATTTTTGTTGAAACAAATATAAAAACTATTATTAGTAGTTTTTACTCTAAATTTTCTGAAAAACATAAATTTAACAAATCTTCTGAGAATATAAATTAAGAAAAAAATAGTTATATATATATATATATTATATAAGTTTTATTAAAAATAATGAATTTCTAATCACCTGTCTTTATTTGTTGAAAAGATTAATTTTTATTAGTTGACTGAAAAATATACTGTCACTGAATCCTTTCTGGTCTTAGATAATGAATAAAGAATTGATTTTGTAAAGTTTCTTGGAAGATGGGGTTGGTTTTGTTTGTGCAGAGAGGAATGGAGGGTGGGGTAGTCATGCAAATATGCAAAACACACACGCACTCACACAATCACACACGGGAATAGAATAAATTCTGAAATCCTCTTCCCCTGTCCCTCTCATTCCAAATCTCTTTTTGTGAACTTGTGGTTGGACTCTTCCTTTTGCATAAGGGTTTCTCTCGATGCTCCTCTGTTCTCTGCACCCAACGAAAAGTACAATTCTTTTTTCCTTTTGGGGAACCCCATTACACGTTTCTGCCTGTTAAATGCCAATTTTATATGTCTCTGTCTTTTACTTCTTGGTGGGGTTGCTTTAGGGTTCTGGTTTTCTCAACCTTCTGAATTCAATTCCATCATATTCTTCTTTGCTTCTTTTTTCCACAATTGGACAAGAACCCTTTTGTTCATGCCATTGGCATATGACAATTGCCACTTCATTTTTGTCTCTAGGGTTTGCACATGATCCTCAAAATCTGTGTTCCACAATGCTGAGGAGCATCTGACACTGTAGCTTGAGTTGGTGCTTTCAGTTTCAGGTTTTGTTTCCAAGTGCACAGTCTCTCTTTGAAACATGGGTTGTGTACATGGCAAGTATTGCTGTGGCAACTCTTCTTCATCAGAGGATGGCTCCAGGGATTACCGAGAAATTGGCTACTTTCATGGCCACAGGAAGAACGTACTCGCTCAGAAATCATTGAAGCATGCTTCTGTTCCTTCTCGCAACTTCATTTTGGAGTACACTTTTCTCACTCAGAGGGGATTCTACCCTGACTCACCTGATAAAGAAAACCAAGATAGTCTCTGCATTAGTACACAAATCCAAGGTAATCCCAATGTCCATTTCTTTGGTGTCTATGACGGGCATGGCCAATTTGGTAGTCAGTGTTCCAACTTCGTCAAGGATAGGTTGGTAGATAAGTTGTCAAATGATCCCGCATTGTTGGAGGACCCTGTTCAAGCTTACACTTCTGCATTCTTGACAACGAATCATGAGTTGCATACTAGTGAGATTGATGATTCTATGAGTGGCACCACCGCAATCACCGCTCTTGTTATTGATGACACCCTTTATGTTGCTAATGTTGGTGATTCTAGAGCTGTGCTGGCTGTTAGGGATGGGAATCGCATTATTGCTGAGGACTTGTCCTCTGATCAGACACCATTTAGGAGAGATGAATATGAGAGAGTGAAACTCTGTGGGGCGAGGGTGTTGAGTGTTGATCAAGTGGAAGGGCTCAAGGATCCAGATATCCAGAATTGGGGTGATGAAGAGAGTCGGGGTGGTGATCCTCCCAGATTGTGGGTTCCAAATGGGATGTATCCGGGAACTGCATTTACAAGGAGTATCGGGGATAGTTTTGCGGAGACTATCGGTGTCATTGCTGTTCCTGAGGTGTCAACAGTTCAGCTTACACCTAATCATCTTTTCTTTGTTGTTGCAAGTGATGGCATATTTGAATTCCTGTCAAGCCAGACTGTTGTTGATATGGTATGACATGCAATCAGTTTTCTTCTTTGTTCTTTTTCTTGCTCTTTTAATGTGAGATAATATCTTCACAGGTTGAACAAATTGACTGAATGATTAAATTTTAACTTACTGTAATTATTGTAAAATCTTCTGTAATTATTAACCGAAATAATAATGTTGTCTGTTAATGGTATGCAAATGGCAATTAAAGACTCTGACTTGAAAACCAGGACTAAATTGATGTTATTTTTTGTGTAAGTTATGTTTGTGGCTTATGGCATATTGCCATATTGTTACCGCAAAATATCTGTGAATGTCTTTCTAAAGAAATGCTTTTTAAATATCTTTATCTTAACGGTTGTGGCCCATAGGTTTGTTATTTAGCTTAACTGCGGTTCATTATCCACGTTTATGCAAATATAATTGAAATAAAAAGCATAATAAAAAAAAATCCTTGCCATAAGCCCATAAGTTACTAACCATATGGGTGAGCTGTATTACTTCATCTTCTCACATCTGTTAGTTAGGCCTATCCACTTATCATATGCATTAACTGCCATAATTATGGGAACCTTACTCTGCATGGTTCACAATACAAAACTTAAAATTTTGCACTGCTTGCCTGCCGCTGATCATCCCTAATCTGCTGTATCACAGTAGAGTAGTAGATTAAGATTTCAATGTTTACTCTCCCCAGTTGCAATACTGTAGGTAAAATAGTAACTTTGGTCGGAGTCCCCTTCTTATCTTGAAAAATCTGTGATTTATTTTATGGTGTAGGCAGCAAGTTATACAGATCCCCGTGATGCATGTGCTGCTATTGCTGAAGAGTCATATAAACTATGGTTGGAACTTGAGAACAGAACAGATGATATAACAATTATCATTGTTCAGATCAAAGGTCTCTCTAATGTATGGGTTCTTTATATTCCTTCAGTTTCATTGCTTTTAATTCAAGCTTGTTTAAAGATTTTAAATTTGTTATATTATATAATCAATCTTATCCCATGAAAATAACAACAAAGTCTTAAAACATTTGGTGGGTCAGTATTTCATTGATTAATTGATACCATAGACTTAATGAAAATCCCCCATTTGGGGGGGTAGAACCATGTAAACTATCAATCTTCTTATAACAATAACATGTAAAATCAAAATTTCGCTGCTGATGGTTCAATAAATAGATTTACCGTCATTGAATAACTTGTTTATCTAATCATTAATCTGACATTGCAGTCAGGTACATCTGGAGTTGAATCAGATGAGGTCAGCATTGGTACAGTAATGGAGTCTAGGACAGGAACTCCAGAGACAGTTCCCACTGGATCTAATTTTTATCAGTCTGCAACGACCAGTCGCTCTGATTTGCAATCCTGTCAGCATGTAGCTTCAATGAGGACCCCAGCCGTAGTGGTTCACTCTCCAGCATGTCCTAGACCAATTGAATCTGTATGATCTCAATCTCAAGAACATTGTTGATTTGTCTCATATTAATCATTTGGTTGCGATCTACATAATTACTTCTTTTCTCCCTTTTTGCTTTATAGTGATTGAAGAGAGGGGCTTTACTGAAGCTTTACCAAGTCTCTTACCATTTCTCCTAAGTGGTACATTTCCACGTTCCAACTTTCCAAGCATTTTGCATTACTATCATACATTTACTGGTCACACTATCTTTTAGGCTGCTCAAGGTTGCCAATTTGAGGTGCATTGTCTTGGCATCAAAAGGAATTTGTTCAGAATTTAGAAATCACAGTTGTTAAAAATTAAGCTACATGTTTAACCATCAGAAACACCTTAGGAGAACACTTGAGCTCGCCTTCTTGTGACGCCATTGCATATCCACTCTTAATGGATTTGAAATTTGGAAAGGAATCAATAACGGACTTGAAATGAAAGGAAGTTATGCAAGGAGATTGGGTTGTGAGTGGTGACTACCGTTTGCATTGAATCGTGGTAGAAACTCATAAGACGGTCACTGGCCAGTTTGGAGGGCAGAGCAGATACTACTTGGCCTTTAAATGCATTGCTCTCATAGATGCTGAATCCAACGTATATATCACGAGCATAACTGATTATTTTATGGCATTTCAAGATTAATTTCATGTCCTTACCATAAATTCAAGACTGAATCGTGGGATAAGACAATAGAGACTATATCAACCACTTAGTTGGGGTTTGTTAAATGTGAGTAAAAAAATAATTCCTTTTCTCTTAATCCTGAAAGGTTATTCAATAGATGGTGGTGGTTAGATATTGATGTGTATAATGTGGTTTCGAGAATTTATTAACCTATTCCAAATGACTAAAATCACACAATCACTAGGTACTCGCAAGACCTCTATCATTATCGATTTCTAACATATGTTATTGTGATCAATTCTCACTACCTCTAAATTTTAATAAACAGACTTAAAAAAAATATATATTGAAGTTTATAAATGACAAATGATAGTTTTCAAGTAATCAAATTGATGCAAGAAAATTTTTCCTGTGGTGCTGCTCTATTTATTACTCCAAATTCTGGGTGTGTTGCATGGGCTGTTGCTAAAAGTTAAACATATAATGGTCATTAATGGATATCTTGACACAGAGATATATTGATAAAAGTCAAGAGGTAAAATAACATTATTCGGTATTAAGGTAATATAAATATATACTTTTTGATAAATTAAACTAATGTTACGGGGGTGATAATTAACTTTGATTGAAAAAATGATAATCTAACATGCATAAGTTTAGAACTTAGAAAATTATAATTTAAAACGACATTGTAATCTTAATTAAAAAAATTGATGAGAAGAGAAATAATAAATATAAAAAATACAGAGATTAATTAAACGAGTATTTTCCTTAAGAAATGAGTCAGAATTAGACCTGAAATGTTTTCTTTGATATGGTTTTGAAAACCTACCCATATAATATTGATTGTGAAGATTTGAGAAATTATTCATATAAGATTATTTTAGATTACATTTTAGTTAATAACTTGATCTAGGGGAATATAAAAACTAAAAAATAAAAAAAGATTGTATTTCAAAAGATTTCATGAGTTTGAGTAAAACTCGAGTTTGAAATATTTTTTTATTTGATTATGACAATTAAAAAAAAAATTCATATAAGGTTGTTTTAGATTATATGAAAGTATAAAAAATTGCATCTTACTTTCAATTGTTGAAAGTGAAAAATCTGATGAAATATGTCGAAAAGAGAAAATAAATTTTAATCTAAAATGTTGATGTAGCTCTTAAAAAAAAATATTTGGTACACGCTTTAACTTTTTAGAATATCAATTTTAAAATATATAATAGAAGGTAGGATAGGCAATGGGTACATGTGAATAGAAATACGTTCAGCCAAAAATTAACATTTATTATTATTTTTTTATTCTTGGGGAAGAGAGAGACGTTCAATGCTTATAGCCTCCAAGCTCTCGGCCTCGGCCTCTGCACACACGAAAAAAGCACATATAAAGGAGAAAAAAAAAAAAAACAGAGACCAAAAAAGTGTGAATTTTCTTTCTGATTCTCCGATTTTCTAAGATCGATCGTACCTTTGATTGTTGGAAAAAATTGCTCCAATCGGGTACGTATCGATCGTCTAATACTGATTACAAGTCTCGTATTGGGGATCTTCTGCGTTTCCCTGGCTCCGTTTGCTATTATTATATTCGAAAATGTTTTGTTTTCATTACGTTTGTGATCTGTGGGTGTGTTTTGAGTATTGATATGTATTGCGATTCCTTTGGGTGTTTCCAATTCCATATTTTTTCAATGGGGCATTGCTCCTTTCGCTGAGATTACTGTGTATATGTTTCTGGGTAGTTGATTCAATTTATTCATTGCCTTTTCTCCTTATGTGACCTTTCCGGAACTCTAATATCGCATGTTAGTATACTGAATTCAGAGTTGATTAATTTTCATTGCTTAAATGCATGCTAATGTGCAATGCCATTATAATCCAGAGTTAGTTGTCGCAAATTTTATTCATTTAGGTGAACAATGTTATATACTCTTTTCTGAATATTCCTTATCAATGTTATTCCTCTTGTACATTTTTTCTAACTAGTGGAACTTGATTTAGGAATAAGTAAACTGTGGATGTTTGTAAATAGATGCTGGATAAAAACTTGACAAGTGTGTTCATAAGCTTTATCTTTTCCTCTTCTTTCCTTCCTATTTTGGATTGCAGCTAAAATGATTTCATTGGTTGCCAGTGGTAGCTATCAAATGTCTCCTTCAGTTTCTTGTCAAGAAAAAGGAAGCAGGAACAAGAGAAAATTCAGAGCTGACCCACCTTTAGGGGAGCCAAATAAGATCATTCCTGCACCTCAACTTGAGTGCCTCAGTTATGAATTCTCTGCTGAGAAGTTTGAAATAACCCCAGGTCGTGGGCAGGCCACTTCATGTGACCTGTGTGGTGTTAGCCAAGATCATTCTGATGGACTGAAGCTTGACCTTGGATTGTATAGTCCTGGAAGTTCATCTGATGTCGGGCCTAGTCAATCTAAGGAGGAACCCGAGGCAGATGAATTCAATGATGCTGATTGGAGTGATCTCACAGAAGCCCAGTTGGAGGAACTTGTCCTTAGTAATTTGGACATCATTTTCCGGAGTGCAATTAAAAAAATTGTAGCCTGTGGCTACACTGAGGAAATTGCTACTAGGGCCATCTTAAGATCCGGCATCTGCTATGGATGTAAAGATACTGTGTCTAATATAGTTGATAATTCTTTAGCAGTTCTTAGGAATGACCAAGGGGTTGATTCTTCACGGGAGCACTATTTTGAAGATTTAGTGCAGCTTGAGAAGTATGTCTTGGCTGAATTAGTTTGTGTTCTTCGAGAGGTTAGGCCATTCTTCAGTATTGGGGATGCAATGTGGTGTTTGTTAATTTGTGACATGAATGTGTCACATGCTTGTGCAATGGAATGTGACCCTTTAAGTAGTCTTGGTACTGATAGCACTGCTAATGGCTGTTCATCTAGCCAAGCAGAATCACAATCAAAAGCAGAAATCAAAGTTCCTGAATTGAGTCTTTCAAGTCCTAGTAAATCAATTCCTGCAGGTTCTCATAATTCCCAATCAAAGAAACCCTTTGTGGCAGGAATTCATGGGGTGAACAACTTAAAGGATTCTCAAATTATTGGTGGACCCTCAGAGATTGTGGGTGCCAGTTCTAGATCTGATTGCATTGATAAAGCATTCAACACTGCTGGGACATCTCAATCTCCCCTGATGGAAGAAAAATGTGGAAGCATTAGAAAGGTTCATTCTTCCAGTAGCACCAAGAGGGACTACTTTCTTCGACAGAAGTCATTCCATGTGGAAAAAAATTATCGTACTTATGGATCTAAAGGGTCTTCAAGAGGAGGAAAGCTGAATGGTTTGAGTGGTTTAATCTTGGATAAAAAACTTAAATCTGTGTCAGAAACTTCTACCATAAACTTAAAGAGTGCATCCTTACAGATAAGTAAGGCAATGGGTGTTAATGTGACTCAAGACAATATTAATGTTAATTTCTCATCTAGTGCTGGAACTTCTACCACCACTACATTCAGCCTGGATTCTTCTGATACCATTTCTAGGTCAACCAATACTTCATATACAGCAAATACTATACCTAAATTCAATAGCCCGGCTTCATTATCAGCTACCAATACAGATCTTTCTCTCTCATTGTCTTCAAAAATCAAGCCTTCTACAGAACCTGTCTGTTGCAATAATGAGGCACCTAATAGTCGTTATATGGGGATACCATATGACAAGTCTCTGGAGCAGTGGATACCCCAGGATGGAAAGGATGAGATGATTTTGAAACTGGTTCCGAAGATCCGGGAGCTGCGAAATCAACTTCAAGAGTGGACAGAATGGGCCAATCAGAAGGTTATGCAGGCTGCTCGTCGGCTGAGTAAGGACAAGGCTGAGCTTCAGACACTAAGGCAAGAGAAAGAGGAAGTTGAACGACTTAAGAAAGAGAAGCAATCTCTGGAGGAAAATACCATGAAGAAGCTTTCTGAGATGGAAAATGCCTTATGTAAAGCTAGTGGGCAGGTAGACCGAGCTAATGCTGCTGTCCGGAAGCTTGAGGTGGAGAAGGCTGCACTGAGGAAAGAGATGGAGGCTGCTAAGCTACGTGCTACAGAAACTGCTGCAAGCTGTCAAGAGGTCTCAAGGAGAGAAAAGAAAACACAAATGAAGTTTCAGTCATGGGAAAAGCAGAAATCGTTGTTTCAGGAAGAGCTAATAATTGAAAAAAGAAAATTGGCACAGCTGCTGCAAGAATTAGAACAAACTAGAATGCAACAGGAGCAAGTTGAGGTATGCTCTTTTAAGCTTATTCCAACTTCTTTCTCATGTTTCTTCATATCTTGTAAACATCCACCCAATATCTATACAATATAACACAGGTAGTTTGGTCTCATGCTGTATTTTTAACAAATAGGAAGTCATGATTAGCGAGTAGTTATATGAAGTTTCAAAGCTCTTCCACTCTCATTTTATTTCATCAACAAATAAATCTATTTTTCAAGTTGGCATGGATCAATGCTGTTGTGTTTTGTCAAAAACCGATTCTTTGGAAAGACCATTTGGATCTCGATTCTTTTTAATGGCTTGATTTGAAGAGTTTTTCTGGGCTAACTTGTTGTATCACTATTTTGTCAACAGACAGAGGGACTTTACATGGACTCTAGTAATCCTTTTTTTTTTTTTTTTTTTTTCCCCTACACCTGTTTATTTTTTCTTTGAAGGTTCTATCCATCTTGGTAGTTGCATGTCTTGTCCTTAAACACTTGACATCACAAGAACAAACCTATGAATATAATTGTAGTGAACTGAAACATGGTAGTAACAGTTTGGTACACAGCATACGTGCACCACTTGGGTGATCCCACAAATGCAACCATTCTTGTATCTACATAGGTGCTAAATGAGATTTGTTACTGGGTCTGTTCTCATTGTAAAGGGAAAATATCACAGGCTAGATGGCAGCAGGAAGCAAAGACGAAAGAAGAACTTTTCCTACAGGCCAGTTCTATAAAAAAAGAAAGAGAAGAAATTGAGGAATCAGGAAAATCCAAGGAGGATATGATCAAATTAAAAGCAGAGAGGAATTTGCAAAGATACAGAGATGATATCCATAAACTTGAAAAAGAAATTGCCCAACTGAGACTGAAGACTGACTCTTCAAAAATTGCTGCACTGAGGATGGGCATTGATGGAAGCTATGCCAGTGGATGTGCAGACTTGAAAAGTGGCACTGCTCTGAAGGAACCCCGAACTTCTTTTATCTCAGAACTAGTCATTGATTGCTCAGTGAGAGGAGGTGTGAAACGGGAACACGAATGTGTGATGTGCCTTTCGGAGGAGATGTCTGTTGTGTTCCTTCCATGTGCTCATCTGGTTGTTTGCACAACATGCAATGAGCTACATCAGAAACAAGGCATGCAAGATTGTCCTTCTTGCAGGAGCCCCATCCAGCAGCGTATTGCTGTACGCTTTCCACATACTTGATTTATTTACTTGAGTGCGTTTTCAATAATAATGTTCATGGGACTCATGCAATGAATAATGCGTTTATGTCATGCATCTCAGGAGCTGAGGTACATTCACTTTCAATGCCAAGTTTGATTCTTAATAGGTGCTGTCTTTTTCTTCTGTGTTTTGATGTTTTTTTAATTTGTATTTTGTTAAAGAAGGTGCCTTGTCTTCCTCAGCTTGTTTGATAGCATAATGGCCAGCTCCTTATGATACCCTCTTCGGCCACGACAAGTATTTTCTTAACTCAAAAAGGTTTAAAACAACGTAACTCTATTTTGAAGTAATATAATTATGAGGGCTATGAACAGTTGAATGTAAACAGAATGGAAATATCAGTTCTTATTGTTGGAGGATAGGAACAACTGAAGAGGGCACGAACATAATTAGAAGATACTGATGCATACTAGTTACGTATTTGGTTGTTTCTCAAGTTGGTTTTTATTCCTTTCTAGTATCCTCTTTTACTATCAGACTACTCGTGTGGAAGCCGAATACGCAACTTCTAATCATCAACATCAATCTATATGAACACGATAAAGAAACACTAGTGACCAACCAAATGTGCCATCCATTATTTTTGTCCGACTGGTCTTTATGATTCAAGCAACAATGATAAAATGTGGAGCTCAAAATCATCATGGGTTATGCATAGGCCATAGCACAGTATTCTTTTCAAGGAGTTGCTAGTGCCCCACCTATCAGGGATTTTGGTTAAGTTTTAATTATTGTGAGTCTGAATAATACTTGTAAAAAAAATAAAGAAAATAAAATGAATAAATCAAACCACTCATATATATTAAAAATAATTTATGTATTTTAATTTTTTTCAAATCTCGTTCATTTTATTTCTCTATAAACATTTGTAAACTCAGTAAAGCTTAACTGTTTTATGCATAAAACTTTGAAAAGAAATGGCTCTATGCTACTTATAAAGGTAAAACAGCAGTTATTTTGTTCAGTTGTTTTGGGTTAAATGCTGCTACTGTTATTTGTTTTTTCGGTGCATTCAAGCATATACATAAGGAAAGAAAATTGACACAATCGTAAATAAAAACGCATAATATTATGAGAGAATTAAGAAAAATGGAAGATAAGATTCCAAAATGATGGGTGGTAATAGTTATTATTTGTGTCTTCGACCTTAGCCACGTGGTACAATTACTTGGATCCACAGTATATTCCAATTGAGCCGTATGGGTCCCCATAACACTTTTCAGTCATCATCGTGGATAATGTCGACCCAAAAATGAAAGTGAAATCCCGCAATACAAAATATTATTTTTTGAGCTAGTTAAGTCATTTTGATTCTCTTATTTATATTATTATAATGAAAATTGTTCACATAAACTTGCATATTTTAAAATTATGAAGTGGAATCTAGTCTGCTTAAATGATAGTCGATGATATGTAATATATCGATGTTCACGATTATTTTTTATAATAAAAATGTATTTCAAAGAAGCTAGGTTTAATAAATAGCATTTCCGTTTATATGGGATTAAGTTAATGTTTAATGCACTACACAATATTAAAATTAAGAGAAAAATCTACATTTATAACATATTTAGTTTTTGTTTGGAATTAAAAATTATAATTTAAACAAAGCTACTAGAAATAACTTTTTAGTTCAAATCACTAAGATTCTTTTAAAACAAAAAATTTAAGCATAACTTAATCTACTTAAATCAGTGGGGATTGAACATGATAGAAGCCAAATCTCTTTCTAAATAAAAGTACCACAATTCAAATCCTACACGAGAGATACTTGTTGCTTTGGTCGTAACGGTACTCGAGAGATTACTCTCTCAGGGGCATTTGTGAGAAGTATACCTTAGTTAAAGGCTACAAGTTATCATTAAAGGCATTGTATCCAAATTAGATACTCTCTAGAAGATTCCTTTGGCGGAAAATTTTGAAATATTACAAGATAATTATCCAAGCCACATTTTATTCATTATTTTATAGGAAAAAAGGAAATTGCATATTTATATTTAATATAAATTTTTGGGGCATAAATTTGTGTGCCACGTACCCTTATCCTGAAGAGAGAGAAATGGCAAAGTTGGTAATTCAGAAAAGAACAAAGGGTTGCATAATAACAAATAAGGGTACGTGAGTCAAAGTTTAGTTATGAAGACGACTGAGCGCCAAAACCGTAATTTGGTCCACTCATTTCTCATCATACCCAATTCTGATTTGCCAATTAAAACTAAAAAAAAAAACAAGTGAAAAAGTACAGCACCCATATATTTCCATTTCGAGAACTTGCTCTGTATATTAAGCTCTTGTTGTCTTCATATTTTCCATATTCAGGTACGTGAGCTTGATTTCAATTCCCATTGAATATGATTGTATTTATCTAACTAATATTCGATGCAGTTATTGGTTTTATAGAGTAGAGAAGGAAGATAGATGAGAGATGTCTTCCACAGTGAAAGGAATATGGATAAGGACGACAGCAGACGTGTGCAACAATAATAGGGTTTGGAATGGGAATTCAAACAAGAAGCAGTGTGAGAGAGTTGGGGGAAGAAGCACAAGATTGCAGTGGCAGGACTTGGAATTGCGCCTAAGATCGACATGGAAGAAAGCCAAGAGATCATATCATCCTCCAATACGAGGCCAAGCAATCCTTACCCCAGCAACGCCATCCACCACCATAAAGGTACGTGCAATCATTTTTTTTCAAACGTGTATCTAAAAATATGTTAATTTTTTTATTAAAAATATAATATTTAATATTTTCAATGTTTTAAATACTTTTTAAAAAATTTACCATCGTAACGGTTATAATCGATTTGAACAGAATTATTTCTAATTGGAGATGCTTGTAATAAAAAAATTATTTAATTTTATACTACTAATAATAATAATTTATTATATGTGATATTAATTAAAAATTTGATTATTTATTTACACTACAATTTCCTAAACACCCTTATCATGCCTTACAGTTTCCATAAAGTTCCCAAATTTTAACTGTCATGTAACGAGAGTCCTGAGAGTAAGGACGGATGAAAAAACAATTGTAATCAATAGAAAGTGAACAAAATTATATGTATACTAATTAAGGATATTAAATATTTTTAATTATTTTAAAAAATAAGTATCAAATATTTTGGTTTTATTTACTGTAATTTTTTGATATATTTTTTTAAACTAGAATGTGGAAGACACTTCTTATTATTTACCTTTTTACTATTTATAATTTCCTTACCGCAGATATATAGACATGCATAAAATTTAGATACGAACAAGTATCATTTGGAGCATATATTTTCGACTCAATTATGAGAATGTGAATATTAGAAGGAACAACGGTAAATTGAATAAATCATGTAATCTTTTGAATCATAGGAATGAAAAACACTAAACACATCCAAAAATAGTTTGATTTTATATTGAAGGTACGTTTGAGCAGGTAGTTTAACGAAAAACTTATTCAATAATTTTTTTAAGTAAAGGCTTCTTTTATAAAATTAATTATGAAACTTCTTAAAATAAATAAAAAAATTATAGAAATTATAAGTTAATTTCATAAGATTTTTTTTATGTTTTTAAAATCTTAAATTGTTGTTACTCTACAAACCAACAAAGTGATTAGACGTAATTTTTTAGGATAAAACGGTAATATAGCATTGCTTTTTTAAGAATGAAGTTTTCTTTGGTTATAAGTAAGTTAAATTGAATTAAGGAATTTTGACTATCATTTCACCTGATAAATTTCATGTCTACATAAGAATGTGAGGTTACTTCGGAGAGAATTATATAATTTCAGAAACTTTTTCTCCATTTACTAATTACAGTACTGTATTCTATTGCGCTGCTACTTCTTCACAATTATTGATATAGTTGTATCTTTTAAAGTGAATATATTGTATATATAACAAATGACTAGAGTTACTTTATGTAGTTACGAATATTTTATTAAAACATTGTTTTGCAGGAATTTATATTTTAAGTATATTCTTCGCTAACCAATATTAACTACTTCTTCACAAAACTATAATAATAATAAAAAAAAAGTGTCATTTACCATTCGCTTCTGCACAAAAATATTAAAGAATAATTTGTTTCTATTCGGGACATGGCAAAACTTGGTCATCAGATTTTCGTGAAAGCGTTGATGATGTTGACAAGACCCCGATAGGAGACCCAAGCTTGCTTCTGGACCTCAAAATTTAATGTGAGGCCTAGAAATTATACTTTTCCTGAAGCCCAAAGATTAATAGTGCTTAGGTTGCTCCGTATCAACAAAGAATAGTAAATTGGACCAACATAAAAAAGTTGACCAAGAAAAATGTTATTTCAAAAAGAAAGTTTTTTGGTTGTTTAACATTCGTTTTCAAATAGAAAGTAAATAATAATATTTTCAAAAATGATTTATTATACATAAATCTGATAAATTATTTAGTGTATCGACTTGCTCTAAGCCTTTTTTCCACTTTTCTTTCGGCTTCATCCCAAAAGAGTGTGTTGTAGCTGGAATTCCTCTCACCCCCTTCTTAGGAAACCTTTAGTTCTCACATTCTTTAATGCCTTAAATTAGCTCTAAATTAACACATCCCTTGCTAGCAAATCAGATAGCTCTAAGTTGAAAGTTTTAAATGAGGATATATCACAATTTTAAAAGTCAAACTGACCATTCTTTTAAACTTTTCACAAATTACTGGTAAAGTAACAAAGATAAAGAGTTGTAAACTTGTAAGGTTGGTGTGCAACTATGATCTGACAAAAGCTTTTTTCACTGTAACATTTCTTTGCCTTTGTTTAAACAGCGGGTATTCACTTTTGGCAAAGGTGTAAGTCAAGGAAACAAAGCCATGAAGTCCTTGGTAAGCATTCTTTATCTTTTCACAATCTCTGTTTAGTCTTTGCGCATGGTAAGACACTTAGACTTATGTTAAGCAAAATAAGATTGTATTATATTCATGTAAAGGATACTCATTTGCCTATGAATTGATGAACAATTGGACGTGTATTAATTGCAGTTGGGAGGAAAGGGGGCCAACCTGGCAGAAATGGCCACCATTGGGTTATCTGTGCCTCCTGGACTCACTATATCAACAGAAGCATGCCAAGAGTATCAACAAATTGGAAAGAAGCTACCAGATGGCTTATGGGAGGAGATACTTGAAGGCTTGCATTTTGTGGAGAATGAAATGGGAGCCATTCTTGGGAATCCAGCACAACCTCTCCTTCTCTCCGTGCGCTCGGGTGCTGCAGTATGAGACTTTAATATTTGGTTTTGGTTTTTCTATATGTCCTTCTTAAGTGCATATATAAAATGCCTAGGATAACTTTTGGAATTTGGTGCCAACTTTAGTAAGGCATATGCCTACAAAAAAATGGTAATAAGGCAAATATAGGAAGAACAGGAATGCAAGTGTTGAGTGAGAAAATTTTCTGTATATACAGAGAAGTCGCATGGTACATTGTTTGTTTATTATTACATTGCCATTAGTTTCTAATGATGGAAAAATCATGCAAGAAAGTGACCTTCTATTGCAGCATTGACTCAATTCAATTCAATCGATGATTTCAACCCAAGGTTCTTAGCTGCAAAGATCTTTCTCCTCTAAGTATTTAGTAATTGTTTGTTTTTAATCTCCAGTCATAGTAAGATAGTTGGAACTTCGTTATTGAAACATTAAACTCTATTTATAGGTGTACTTTGCTTTGATTTAAAATTGAATCCTTTTATGGTGTATATAATATGTTTATATCATAAACTTACTTTGTTTCCCTTACATTTACAAGATTTCCATGCCTGGAATGATGGACACAGTTCTCAACCTAGGATTGAATGATGAAGTGGTTGCTGGGTTGGCTGAAAAAAGTGGAGAGCGATTTGCTTATGATTCTTATAGACGTTTCTTAGACATGTTTGGAGATGTTGTAAGTGGTTCTTTTCCACCCTATGCATCAAAATGCTTTCTGTTTGCTTACTTTAGCAGGCTGTCAACATTTGTTTAGCAATTAAAACTAACCAAATTGAAAGCGAGAAACCCTTAATCAACGGAATCTGTTTGTATCTTTCTCTCAAGCAAAAAAAAAAAAAATTGTTGTGTTCCATGGCTTTTGTTCTAACTGTTCTTTTATGTTATATTGAGGTAATGGACATATCACACTCATTATTTGCGGAGAAGTTAGAAAATCTAAAGAATACAAAAGGTGTTAAACTTGACACTGATCTAACAGCCGATGATCTCAAAGATCTAGTTGAGCAGTACAAAAACGTCTACCTTGAAGCGAAGGGAGAGAAGTTTCCCTCAGGTGCTAAATGCAACATCACCAACTTCACGTTTTGTTGTTATGCATTCTCATTGTCCTCATGCCCACTCTCTTTGTCAAGTTGTTTATAAGAAAAAATATATTTATGAATCTTCCTTATTCATATACCAATTGCAGATCCAAAGAAGCAGTTAGAACTAGCTGTTAAAGCCGTTTTTAATTCTTGGGATAGCCCAAGGGCTATTAAGTATCGGAACATTAATCAAATAACTGGGTTGAAGGGAACTGCTGTAAACATTCAATCCATGGTGTTTGGCAACATGGGAAATACTTCCGGAACTGGCGTTCTTTTCACTAGAAATCCAAGCACTGGGGAAAAGAAACTCTACGGGGAATTTCTAATAAATGCTCAGGTTACATGTGATATACTAGTTGTTAATAATCTTCCATGTCACTATCATCTCTATTAGTCTGTGGAAGTTATCACTTATTTCTGATGTTGATATCAGTTTCTCCATAAAAAAATCTGAACTCGTTTTTATTAGGGAGAGGATGTAGTTGCTGGAATCAGGACACCGGAAGATTTGGAGGTCATGAAAACTTGCATGCCAGAAGCTTATAAGGAACTTGAGGAGAATTGTGAAATTCTAGAGAAACATTACAAAGATATGATGGTAAAATTTCAATAATCATATTTACTTTTTCTGCCCTTATAATTATACTATTTGTAAAGATAAACCGGCAGAAAAAGATTCTGAATTTGTTGTGATCATATGTAGGATATAGAGTTCACTGTCCAAGAAAATAGGTTGTGGATGTTGCAATGTCGAAGTGGAAAACGTACTGGTAAAGGTGCAGTTAAAATAGCTGTAGATATGGTTAATGAGGGGCTTGTTGATATTCGTTCCGCAATCAAGATGGTAGAGCCACGGCACCTTGATCAACTTCTCCACCCACAGGTATTTTCTTTGTTGTAAATGTAATTACCATTGTCCATGTATCATGTGCCTTTGACTTCCTTCTATAAATAATGTGTCGATCAAAGCAGATTGAAGCATCCACCAACTTGCCCAATTGTATTTAGAAGGATTAACAAGGCTAACTCGAGAAGAGAATACAAAGGATTAGTGATCATAACCACAAATTATATAGCATTGTTTCACTCGATGATTTTTATTGTATGTTTAATAGACATGTAAATTTGTTTTCATTTATATTTTTTTACTAATCAGATTCAAATTTAAGATGATTAAGAGTCTTGACTGCTCTAAGTTATTTGGTTAGTTTGAGGATCCATCTAACTACAAGGACAAAGTGATTGCCATCGGTTTGCCAGCATCACCAGGAGCTGCAGTAGGGCAGATTGTGTTCAATGCTGATGATGCTGAAGAATGGCATGCACAAGGAAAGAGTGTCATCTTGGTATTCCATTCTTCTCCTTGATAATAATATTTGTTCCCTTTCTTGATATAAGCCTGAATCTACATGTCCAGTTTTAACTGGGAAAATCCAGAGTTGACTTAGGTGAAAATGTGAAATGCTTCTTTACAAAAGTTTGGAATTTTTATGATTAGGATGTGAATATCGTTTTGGGTTAAAAAATTATCCATTAGCAATTATTAAAAGCTAAAGCACTCTTGTTGAAGGTGAGGAGTGAGACAAGTCCAGAGGATGTTGGTGGTATGCATGCAGCTGCTGGAATCTTAACAGCTAGAGGCGGTATGACATCTCATGCTGCTGTTGTAGCTCGTGGATGGGGAAAGTGTTGTGTATCTGGTTGCTCTGATATCCATGTAAATGATGCTGAGAAGGTAAACTTGGATTTTCTATTTTCATACTACTAAAGGCTCTTCATGTTGTAATTGGGTATAAACTTAATTAATAATATGTACTAATGTAGGTGCTTGTAGTCGGGGATAAGGTGATATCAGAAGGAGAATGGCTCTCCCTAAATGGATCCACAGGTGAGGTGATACAGGGAAAGCAACCACTTTCTCCTCCAGCTCTAAGTGATGATATAGAAACTTTCATGTCTTGGGCTGATCAAATAAGGCATCTGAAGGTGCTGTATGTTCTTTATCTACTGCAGAAATTGAGTTGAATAAAAGAAACTTGTTTTCTATAAATTCCCTCATATGTTGTCGTCTATTAGGTTATGGCGAATGCTGACACACCTGAAGATGCAATCACAGCTAGGCAAAATGGTGCCCAAGGGATTGGGCTTTGCAGGACAGAGCATATGGTACAAATAAACATCAACTCTATACTATACCTGAATGAAAAGTGTGAACAGTGCATACATTGTTCTTGTGATAAAAAAATTCATATTTTAATTTCCTTAAAACTGGTTAATTGTAATTTTGTTATAATAACAAGGTTAAAATATACATGTATTTCGTTATGTTTTAGTTCATGATGTTGTGTATATTTTAACCTAATAACAAAGTTCGGCGTTGTTCTCCTTTGAAACAAAGCAATCATGTAGAGCTCAATATAAAAGACATCCTCCTTATAAGCTAAAAATTGAATTGGATTTATTTTAACCTTGAATCCAAAAGTAAGCATATACGTTCCCTACCACCCTTGTGTAGTCATACGCATTAGAATTTACCCTTGTAATGAATTTGGTCATTCTTATTTACTAATCAACACAGAGTAGTTACAAATTATGTTTTTTTTTTTGGCATGTCGTAGTTTTTTGCTTCAGACGAGAGGATAAAGGCAGTGAGGATGATGATAATGGCTGTTACCCCGGAACAGAGGAAAGTTGCGCTTGATCTGTTGCTACCTTATCAAAGATCAGATTTTGAGGGCATCTTTCGTGCAATGGATGGTCTCCCAGTAACAATCCGATTGTTAGATCCTCCACTTCATGAATTTCTTCCAGAGGGTGACCTCGAACATATTGTCAGTGAACTAACTTCTGAAACAGGCATGAAAGAAGAAGAAATCTTCTCTAGGATAGAAAAACTATCAGAAGTGAATCCCATGCTTGGTTTTCGTGGCTGCAGGTTTGTACCCATCTTATGATGCTTGTGTTGTCCCCATCTTATGATGCTTGTGTTGTGTGTGACAAATTACTGTCAATAGGACTGATGATAGCATTGATCCAGAAATTTGAGTCCTCATGTACATTGATTGATTTAAGGTTTGATTATCTATTCCTCATATTTGATAATAATGAAATTCCGTGAACAGGTTGGGAATATCATACCCAGAACTGACTGAGATGCAGGCTCGTGCAATCTTTCAGGCTGCTGTTTCAGTGAGTAATCATGGCATCAAAGTTCTTCCAGAGATAATGGTTCCACTTATCGGTACACCTCAGGCATGGTCCTTTTCCTTACTTATTTCTTCCCTTCTTGTTTGTCCTTCAAAATGCTTCAAATGTATTTAATCACTTATGCATGAAATTTCTGAGGAAAATCTTGGACCATGTTATAATTTGAGATGTTGCCCCTAGGATGTAATTATTACATGGTATAAGCTCCCGAATTTTTTATTATCAGGAATTAAGGCATCAAGTGAGTTTAATAAGGAATGTTGCTGAAAAAGTGTTGTCTGAGATGGGTTCCTCTTTAAGCTATAAGGTTGGAACTATGATTGAAGTTCCAAGAGCTGCTCTAGTTGCAGATGAGGTAAAATTTATACCCTGATGCCTTGATGATTCACTCTAAAATTCTAACGAAATATTTAAGAATGTGATAAAGAAAAACAGTTATAAATTACAAATTTGTAGAGTAACAGTTAAAAGGATCATTTTGTCCTCTTTTGGTTTTTTACACTTTCTAATTTTATAATTCGTTCGCCTAGATTGCAAAGGAAGCAGAGTTCTTTTCATTTGGAACCAATGACCTTACTCAAATGACATTTGGATATAGCAGAGATGACGTTGGAAAATTTCTTCCTATATACCTATCAACAGGGATTCTGCAGTATGATCCATTCGAGGTCGGTTGCCTAATGTTTGTTTGGTCGTTTGTTTATTATACGAAATGTGATTGCTGAATTTGAACTGTTGACAACAATTGCAGGTACTTGACCAAAAAGGTGTGGGTCAACTCATAAAGATTTGCACAGAAAAGGGTCGTGCTTCTAGACCAAACTTAAAGGTGGTAACTTACCATACAAATTTGAACCAACAAAATTTTGTTATCCGTCTTAATTATTCTAATTATATCGAATTAAAACATCTTTTTAATTCTTTATCAGGTTGGAATCTGTGGAGAGCATGGTGGGGAACCTTCTTCTGTTGCATTCTTTGCTAAAATTGGACTTGACTATGTTTCATGTTCTCCTTTTAGGTCATTTTTTCACTTCTACATTAAATAAAAGCAAAAAATTTTGTAATTCCAATTATTGAACTGAAAATGTGAGGACTCTTTTGCAGGGTTCCAATTGCTAGGCTTGCGGCAGCTCAAGTTGCAGTTTAAGAAACAGTTACAATTGTAAATTAATTAATAAAAAATGAATAAAGGAATGCTTTATTAATAACATACTTATAGATAAAGGAAGGTTACTAACATACTTATAGAAGTGAAAGCAAAGAAAAATTAATAAGAAAATCTTTGTAATAAAAAAGAGAAAACATTGTGTACAATTATTCATATCTTGTAATTTGATTGCATCCCGTGTCTTCATGTATTTGGTTATGAGACACTAGTGGTATCATTTGTCAAATAAGACCGATTCTGTAAAATGATTGTACATGTAACTATTCTATCAGTAATAAAAATATCCTTGAAATTTTTTTCTATTGATCATCATCTCTCTCGTAGTATGATAAACTTGACATAAGTAAGTGAAGTGGAAAGCAGTTACGGTTACCAATTACCATATGAATACGAAAGAAAACGGAACTGAAGATAGGGTTGGGTGGGGTGAAATAATTAATTGGGCCGAGTGGGAGTTGGGCCCATAAAGACGCAGTATTTGAATTTGCAGTGAGTCGAGTTGGGGAGCGGCGTTGAGCTGAGATGGGGTTGGAGAGCTACGTGGTGGTGCACAACATAGCGAAGAGGCACAACGTGGGGACGTTGGCTCGAAGTGCGACGGCTTTTGGCGTGACGGAGATAATCCTGGTTGGGCGGAGAGATTTCAACTGTTTCGGAAGCCATGGCTCCTCCTCCCACCTTCAATTTCGACACTTTTACTCGCTGGAAGACGCTCGAAGCTTTCTCAAGGACAAGGACTGTGATATTTGTGGGGTGGAGATCACAAACGATGCTCTCCCTGTTAATCACCATCCTTTCAACAAGACCACTGCATTCCTACTCGGCAACGAGGTATCTCTCTCTCTCTCTCTCTCTCTCTCTCGTGTTTATATGACCAATTTCTCTCTCTACTTTCTGATTTGCCCAAACTCTTACTGGTTAGGGTACGGGCCTTTCTCCTAAGGAATGCGAAATATGTGACTTTTTCGTTTATATCCCTCAATATGGATGCGGCACTGCTTCCTTGAATGTTACTGTGGCTGCTTCCATTGTACTCCATCATTTTGCAGGTATTCTATCTCTCATGGACAACTCCATACATATTTATATTCCTTACTCTTTTCTCATATCATTTGCATTTGTTAATTAACAAATGGAATGGGTGTCTTGTTTTTTTCATTATTTTTTCTTCATTTAAAATTTGCCCCTCTTTGCATCTGATTATATCAAGCCCAGTTCTGGTGCTTCAACAGAAACTATACATGCCTATTTTTCAAGTCACCTTAAGCTTTTCGAACATTATATTCCAACATCTTATGGAATGTTCGTTCCAACTCTAAACATTTGCTTCTGAGCAAGAACCACAGAAGGAGGCAGTTAAATCAATTAAACTAAACTATCTGAACTGCGTCTTATTACTCAATCTTACCATCTAATACTGTAGTTTCTGAAACATTTTCTTTTGCCAGTATGGGCAGGTTTTACAGAGAGGTCTCGAGCTGGGAATAAATTTGTTGTGGCTGAGAGACCTGTAAAACAGGTTAGACGCAATTACTGCACTGAATCGGAAGATTCTATCATTGAAGAGCGTAAAGCTAGAAGAGAAAATGCTGCCAATGGTTTCTTTGACGAGGCTGACAGTGGCAGTTCATCTTCAAACCTCCTTGGCGCATTATTCGTTGATGGTTGACGGCAAATATGTGGTTAATTGATCTCTGGGATCGTAGATAGATGGCATAAATACTTAAGTTGCAACATAGGAGAACCAACATCTTACCTATTTAATGTGGATTGGAGAAAACTCACTATTTGATGGCTGACTTTATGTTTGGCAGCATATAAAAAGAACCATTCACAGGAAAGGTTGCCACTGAGATTAGGTGTGTATATTGTAATTACGGTGAGTTTGCTGCAATTGCCACCAGTTATAGGACAAAAGTTCAATGTTGTTCTTGTAACATGATACTGCCATTTGTATTACTGATGATTGTTAAAGCCCTTAAATGATAAATTTGTCCTCCTTCCGAATAGATATCATGGTTCTCTCACCTTCTCTGCCCTGTTTATTTTTGTGGCAAATTACACACACTTTCTAAGATTTAATAAAATTTCACTTGATACACCCACCCTAAACCCAAACAAAACCAAGCACTAAATCTATTTTCTTCATCCCTCAAACAAATTCCGTTGCTCTTGCTTGCACAGCATTTGTCTCTCTATGGTAAAGCCTGAAAGGGTAGCTTTTAGCTCTGATCTCAGCAAGCATTCCATGAGCTGCATTTATCATTTGTTTAGATTTTTTTAAATTTTTTTTTGGTATTTTCAATCTCTTCTGTCTACAGAATAGAGACAAAAAATTGTGGTATTGTTCTAATTAAACGGAGGGACGGCTTACATAGTTCAATAAGAATCGAATTAAGATTTTTTTGTTATTTCAATTCGTCCTTCATTCATTTGATTCAAAATTGTTGAAGTCTAAACTGTCTTACCTTCAAGGATTTTCTCCGGAGGATTTTTTAATCCTAATGATGATTCTATGGATACCTGTTAAAGTTGAAACACAATAACTATCTAACAAAAATTTTGAAAATTCCTCAATTTCAAAATTGAATAGTTATTTTGAACAAACATTTTTTGACAAATGCTATAAAAGATTTTGACAAAAATATAATTTCTTACGTTAGAATCAAATATAAAAATATAAGTTAGAAGACTTAATTGAATAAAATAAGTTAGAGGATAATTCGCAATTAATATAAAACTTAAAAGAATAGAAATTTTACCTTTTAATGATATCATTCATTTTATTTTTCTCTTTTGGTGTGTTTTAGAATTTTAGAATTAATTATTATACTTGATGTATTAGATAAGATACTAGTCAGTTTTAAAGATAAAATAAAGAATTCGAATATCCTTTCAGCCTTAGCAAGACGAGTATCCCTATGTCAGATTAAAGAATAATTAAATCAATTAAGGTAAATAATTAAACCATTATTTATTTAATTATAGGGCTAAAATCAAAGCTGATTCACAAATCAAAACCCATCAGCACATAATATTGCCTATAAAAAGAAGATAAAAGGTACAGGTAAGGGATTGACTTTTAAATATTAAATAACATTTATTACTTAAATCGACAACTGACTTTATTATCGGAGTACCTTTTGTAAGTACACTTTCTACATTAGACAGAGAAAAATCTATAATACTGAAGATGACGTCATCTTATCTCGTAGTAGAAAGATATTCTAAAGATAAATGCTTCCTTTATTTTATTAAAAATTATAATAATTAATATATTAAATATTGTTATATTTTGTATCTTCTAACAAATATTATTTTAAGCATACATTTCAATTGCTTTTAATAATTTAAATTTATCAAAGTTAATTCCATCGGATTTGAAAATAGACAAGGCCAATAACTGGTTTGTTTCATAAGAAACAAATCACATATCATGCTTTGGGAAGGTAAAACAACAGTCCCGTGTGGAATGTTGCAAAGTCTGAAACAAACGAGCTATTAGATATTTTCAAGTTTATAAGGTAATCTATGCAAAAATATTGGTAACCAGAATGATTAACAAGACCAAGCTGGACAAGTACACAGCACGTTGCAAACCAAGTTTCGACCAATAAACAATAATAAAAATGTTTTTTTCACCTCCTTTTATGGGTCTGAAATGAGGTATGAATCATAATTATAAATGATAACTATCACTGTCCAAATCTCAGAGAAACATGATTTTTCTCGTTAGAGACAATGGAAATAGAAAAGCCTACAACATTAACATTTCAGTTAACCATTACATAGCTCGCCATGCAAATGCCATCAGCATGTGCTAATATTTTCGTAGACGCAGCCGCATAATTTGCTAAGAACAAAACTTTTAAGTCCACTAATATTTTAAACATTTTTAGGTTATTTTTTAATTAAAATTTCAAAGTTTTATCTCAATAAACTTTGTTAAGACACTTGTTGAGATAAAAATTTAATTTTAATTAAAAAATAACACCAAAAACATCTAAAATTCTACACTTAATTTATCTTTAAAAAACTACTAATACTAAACATTTTCATTTGGATTTTGGGGAGGTGAGGCATCATTGGATTTTGGAGAGGTGTCGTTAGAATCGGTGCTTGGAGGGTATCCAATTCCATGTCGATGGTTGGGGAAAATGACGAACAAGCCACCCGCTAACACCCCAATAGCTGGGGGTAGCACCTGAAGTAGACGCTTCTGAGTTGACTCAAAACCAGGGTAGAAGCAGTGCACAGTGTTGGTATCCAAGAGACCCAACACTGCGAACACAAACAAAGATAAAGCCGCATGCACAAAATCTCCAAATTTGAGCTTATACCCCGACAAGTCAATAGACTTACCCGCTTGAGAAGAAGGCCACAGTCCCTTTGTTGTTACAATTCCATAGTGCCTTTGGTTGTCACTTCCTGTATAGCTATCGGTGAAGGAAGAAAAGCAACAATTGAAGGCACATGCCACCAGGACAATGGAACTAAGCAACTTGTTGGTGGTGTTGCATTTACCACTGTTGGTCACAACGGGGTTTAGGAATTGGAACAAGAACACTGTACCTGTAGGAAGCAGCTTTATGAGACTCCCAACAGCTGAGAATGTCGTGTTTGTTACACCTTTACCTCCATTTTGGGTACTTACTGTTCTTGTTGTTCTTGTGTTTAAGGTTGAACTGTCTGCAATCATTTGCTTTGATTTTTTATTTTTTATTTTCCCTTGTTGTAACCTTAAGGGTGCAGGTAAGAGTTGGCACACACGTAGTAATAGTATTCACTATATATTATACATGTGTTTTCTTTTTCTTTCCTTGAATGAGGCTTGTGTTGATCTTATAATATAGAGCTTAAATAGGCAGGTGGTTTGGAAGAGATGGCTTCAATTCTAATTGAATTAGAAAAATCAGCAAAACGTGTGCTTTGAAACTTCACACAATCTTAAAACAAGCTAAGACTTCTTATTACATGTACCTAATTGCACTATACCATGCCATGCACATTGAACGAGTCCAAAAGATTTCCAAAAAATAAATAAATTCAAAGATAGAAAAAGACCCGAAGAAAAAGTCAAACAAGAACCAACGTACAAAGAATTTTACTTGGCAATGTAGTAATAGAAACATGAGCGGTTGTTGAGTGGTCTCTTATGGTAAAATCAGAAGAGATAGTGTGCTACATGATGACAAATTCAGCAAGAACGTATGAAGAAAAATGATGACTCTGTGTGGAGGTAGAAAAACAGAATCAGTCGCCAAAAAGGAGAAGGTAATAATTCAATCAAAACAACGTTGCTTTGGAGATCCTATTAACGGCGTCAAACATCGTACATGATTACCTATCAAAAAATTTAAATCGTCAATTATCATTAGTTATTTAATTTCATTCTTATCCTATGTCAAGTTTTATTAAAAGCATCCAAATCAACATTTAATACTTTGAAATTGTTTTATATTTTATGTCAAGAAATTACAGTGAATCATAAGGTGACTGATTATTCAAGCAATTACGTATAATGAGACAGTTACTTTAGTGGATATTTAATTCTTTAAGATAAACTAAAATTATCAAAAGCAGCCTTTAATTTGTCCCCACAACTCGTTAATTTGATAATTAATTTTGTCAATCAATACAAATTAAGGCAATTTATAAACCCTTGGGCAGCGCACAGACATGAATGAAGGATTCAAGTTACTATCAACGTTTTATCACAAAGTGTCACTTTATTTTTTATTTTTTATTTAAATATAATCGAACGATTGAATTAATGAAAAAAACACTTCTCACTTAGTTAAAGTCAAATCCGATCTGAATACTAATTCAAGGATTTTTTTGTAGTAACAATTTTATAAAAGTAATTATAATCTTTTAAAAAGACGTCATATCCACAATTTAAAAAAATATATATATTTATTTCTGTGAAATAAAATAATGCCCACGACCTTTCAAAATGCGGCATTAAAAGTCTTAATTGGAATTTTCATCTTGTTTTTTGATGATAATCTTAAAAATTCGCAACTAATCAGCGACTAGGTTTGGTTTTCATCACACATGAAATACACTTTCAAAATATTAAATATTATTTTAATTTTTTTCATTTAACTTCTTAAAATTTGAAGAGTATCATTTATTTTTTATACTAATATTTTATAAATATTATATAATAAGTACTTTTCTGCACCTATTCATATTTTAAAGAAACTAAAACGAAATTATTTAGAGGATTAGGAAGAAACAAAAGTTAATTATGCAAGGAGTACATAACTAACTTATACTTTAGACCCAAGAAAGACTTTGAATTGAGTTTTAAATAAAATGTTGAATTTAACCGTCCAAAACCTATATTTTAACAAATATATTTAAATTGGTCTGATCAGACTTGCAAATTTTTCCATTTCTATAAAAGTAGCTATATTCGTTGAATATCTAATATCATTTTTCATTTTATTTTTGCTAATTGAAGCACAGAATACAACCAGTCCATAAAAAATGTCACTAGAACATATACAAGCAAACAAATATTAATGGTAAAACTTTCATTTTAATTTTTTGTTCAACAATATATATAACTGAGTATTTAACACAACTGCAGCACAGGTTAATGCATACTTAGCATTTCTGAGTTATTATAGAGAATTTATGAATAGTATTAGTGCATTTACTATATATTAGCATGATGTCTGTGTTAATGACGTAAAACTAGGTGTATTTTTTTTTTGCGGTTTTAGAAAAAATATGGACATTAGAAATATTAAGATTTCATATAAAGAACGGCAATGCAATTTTCATGTAAGATTTCACTTTGACTTCGCCTCTCTATTATTGCTCAATGTCATTTCCTTCAGCCTAACTTGTACTTGTGTTACCTGGATTCATATTAAGCACAACCACCCTGACGACTAATATTTAATGTTTTCAGCATTTTCTTTCAGAGATGGTTGGGAAATCAATTGTGGTACGAAATATTACATGTAAGAGGGACAAAAAATATAATTTATGAAATTAAGGGTAAATACAAATGATTGAAATTCAGGGTGCATATAATTATTTCGACTTAAATAACATTTTACTCTTTAAAAATATCTTACTTTTTATTTTTAGTCGTGTAAAATCTTATTAAATTTTAATTCTCCAAATTAAAAAAAACTATTTCTAGAGATTAAAATATCATTTAAATCCTGTTTTAGAACGCAAGGGTTACATTATTTGAATAACCTATCACCAGATATAATGTATAATAATAATAAAGAAAATATAAGATAAGATTCTGAAAAGTAAAACAAGAAATTTACAAACGTATTCTGCTAAAATCTTACTATGGTGGATCATTTACATTACAAAAAAGTGCACAAGGAGTTGGCAAATTCACTTGATCACTTCACAGTTCAGAGTCTAAAACCCAACATACATACACCAAATTCCAACACTTGCTGGTTATACAAAGGAACTACACAGTTCCTCCTTTCTTTGTTTCCACCTGCTTCCTCCTCCAAGCCTCCCTTAAACAGATATTACAAGTTAATTAATAACCCTAAATTTGATATTAATATCTTTCAACAAACATCCGAAAAGTTATTCTTACATAACATGTTCACGCATACATTACACTATTCCAAGCATTTTAAACATTCGCCCCCACTTCTACCCCCAAGTCCAGATCCACCCTTCCGTTTAAAAAAATCACGGTCGGGCCGAACTTGAAACTGGAAGAGGCGTAACGGTAACGGTAACAGTAACGGAGAAAAGGGAAGGACAGGCGAAGAAGTTTCTAGAGCGAAAGAGAGAGAAGATGTTTAAGTTGTCGGATCCAACCCGATCCCAAACCCGGAACTGCAATCCAACTTGCTTTCATTCGAGCCGGAGCAGACGCCTTAGATCTCGCGTTGCAGAGTCATCAAACGCCGCCGAGGCCTGCTTCTTCGTCTGAAAAGATGGAATAGGAAGCGCGCTCGGCGACGGAGACATCGCGAACGCCGATCCGGCATACACGTCGCTCTTCACGGCCGAATCCAGCGACTGGCCCCTCCGGAGAATCGTAACCTTCTCCGTGGCCGAGCCGCTGCTCCTCGCCATCGTTGAATCATCAACGCTCGACCTCCTCAACACCGCCACGGCCTCCGCCACTACCGGCTGGCCGGAACCCACAGGCACCCGTTTCCTCTGATCGGGTCGGGCGACCGACTTCCGACAAGACCTGGGGGTCGTAGCATGATTGTTGTAATAATTATAATAATTACAGTAGTTACTGGAACTTTTCCGGCGGGAAAAGGTGGCCGGAGGAGCTCTGATCCGTTCTGTCAAGCAGTCCTGAGGCCGTAAAACCTGGGTTCCCATATTGAGTTGAAAAAATCGAAACGCTTAAGAAAAAGAGAAAAAAAATATAGTGGTTGTACCTCCTAAAGGAAAAGGGGGGGAGGTTGTATGTAGTGAGAAAAAGAAAGTTAGATGCGGTGTGTGATGGTGTAGGAGAAGGTGAAGATGGAAAGGATTGATATATAGCATAAGAGAAAGGAGACAAAGGTGGGGTTTGGTGTGGGGGTGGGTTTGCACCGACCTTCCCATAAACCAAAATGACGCGTCACGAGAGAAACTAAGAGAGAGAGAACGCCTTGTCTGACTCGACAACGGACAGGTGTTGCCTCACCAGACTGGGTCTTTGTTTCATTCACTATTCTTCTTAACGGTTACTGTTAGTTTTTGCTTCGGATCCACTGATTTTTTTATCCGAACCACCTCATTCATTTGCTTTTTTGCTTCGGATATGGCACCACCTTAGATAAGGTAACGACGTTAGGTTAGTTGTCCTCTTTCGTGTATATTATTATTTGGTTGGCCCCACCTGACGTTGCTATTTATAATGCAAGAAAATTGCTTTTCCATCTCTATTCACTAAATTATACCTTATTATACTAAAGGAAAGCTACTTTGGCCCAGTGAAAAGATCGATAGTGACACCTCAGCAATCACATTTTGACAGCACGCCAGTCAACAATTCCAAGTTTTGAAATACATGCTAAATAGCTTTATGAGCTTTAGCGAAAGCAAGTTACCTTGCCCTACTGTGCCCATGCTTTGAAAGCAGCATCTGAGAGATGATGGGAAGATCCCAGTTATACTCTCGAGTTACAGAGCACTAATACTTCTCATTTCCCAGTTGTTGTTCTCCTCAAAAGATAAAGACTTGCAACTTGCAACTTGCAACTTGAATTAATTATTCCGCGGTGCCTAATAATTGAAAGTGCTACAATCTACCATATATAATATTACAGGCAATAATTTTGCAGCCCACATGAGCTTGTTCTTCTAAATAAATAATGAAGCTCGAATATTTCCTATCCAGCTTTTCAATGGCATACCAAGTTGCCTATTCCCTGGCCACACCCATTTGTTCTACAACTTATGACATGCTCCACCAATACCTTTTTTTATTCATCAAATCCCTTATTGTAATCCACAAAATCGAAGGCAATCTTACTTTTCAAGGGATAAAACAGCGAAAAATAATAATAAATGAAAGGATTGTGATCGACCTTTACCCTTCCTTATTATTTTATTAAACTATAAATATTTGATAAAATTATTTATTGAATTCCATGAACGCTCATGTTTTATTTAAAATTATTTATTTATCAAAACTTTAAATGAATAACGTAATAGTTAAAATTAATAATAGAAATAGACTATAGATGAAAAATTTTACTAAAATATCAAAGATAAAAACAAAAAGCTATAAATTAAAATTATTTTAAATTTCGTATAAAAAACTTTATAAGATAATAAAATGATTTTTCTTAAAAAATAATTATCGTCAGGCTTGCATCGTGGAATACACGTAGTTGAAACTAATTAAGGTGTTATCCTGCACAGTGCATTTGCTATTTAATACTGTGCCGAGTGATTTGATATCTCATCTGATCAGACATTGTCTATTCGACATACAGTGCCTCATTCAGCTCATTTCAGTGTTTTGGCTAGGATTCCGATTATTTTCTTTAATAGGTAGATTAACAAATATTTTACAAGTATTAGTTGAAAGGTTAAAAAAAATACAAAATTATTATTATTAATAAGTTTATTTATTTATGAACTCTTTCACGTATCTTTTTTTAATAATTTTATTAACCTTAATCTTTAGGACTGAATTTAAATATTCATCAGTATAAATTTTTTTATAAAAAAATATATAATTATTATATTAAAATTATAAAAATATAAGAAATATTTATCTTTTTAAAAAAAAATATTATTATTAACTACTTATCTTTATCTTTTTATAATAAATTGTTCAAATATTTTACTGATGAGTTAATTGCTTATTAATTCTCTTTTCAACTAAAGCATAAACAGCAGCAACCCTCCCCGGAAAATTACACTGGGAAGGAGAAGTGGAAACACCCTCGCAGGCTTCCTACTCCAAGAGGCAAAACACCCAATTTTAAAATGTAATAAAAGAATAATGGAAGTTACATACACACGTTTCACACACAAGACTCAAGTCTTGTAGATCCAATTTAGCTGCTGTGACTTGTGAGTTGCCTATTTTGACATTTCCACTTAATGTCAGGTCATCATCTATTTAATTAACATTAAGAGACTTTGTTTTTTTAATTTTAATTTGTATTTTGACAGGTGACGAATATGGTTTATCTGTAGCATAAAAAGACGTTCATTTATACTTTTAGTTAATATATGAAAAACAGAAATAAATATTTGGTTACAAATTTTGAGATAAAAAAATTAATTAAGTTTACTTTTTTTTATGTTAAATTTTAACGTCATCAAACGAAATATGAATTAAGTATTTAACAAAAAGGTTTAAAAATAGTTCTGTTTCTTGTATTCATGTAATGTTTAAATTTTAGTTTAATCTCTATTCTTTTAAAATTTATCACTTTTGATTTTTAATGATATTGAAATTGTTCAAAAAATTAATACACGAAACCTTTTAATTAGTCATATTACCGTTAGGAATAAAAAAAAAGAAACATATTTAAGCTTAACAAATATCAAATAAGCGAGAGTCATTGTCCCATAAAAATTTACAAATATTCATTAAGAAAAAAATAGAAATAAAAAAAACTAAAACAAATTTCAAACGTGAAAATTACTTTTAAAATTCAATTCCTTAAATTGATTAATGTGTTTTGAATTTTTGTTTCTAAAAAACAAAGATGTAATTAAAAAAGGAAATTTATTAGCCTTAATATTTTAAAGTTGAATTTAAAAATTTAAAATTAATTTTTTGAATACTTAAATTTTTAGCTTAAAGCTGAAATTAATAACTTGTAAGGAAAACTTGTTAATGGGTCTGAATAAAACAGGAAAACACTATGAAAACATGTAAGGATTGCCCACCACAACGTTGGACCCGTGGAACACAAAGCCCACCTCAAAAGAAGTATGCTGGGTCAAGATCCATGCAATCCATTGAAGCATGACTTTGAGCAGCTCAAAGAATAAACTTGTTGGTACTCCTCAGTCAAAATAATAGCACTTGTCAGAGGATTGTCTCCTCTAAACTCAATAAATGTGCAGTATTTAAAAAAACTCACCAAAACGTCATCTTGAATTAAAATAATTTATGATTTTAATTAATTTGTTATGAATTATTACATGAGTAAATGTCTATATTCATAACTCCTCCTTATTCTTTGTAACTTACAATTTTGTAACTATTTTGCTTAATTCTCATTCAAAGAGATATGATTCTTCAGTTATAATTTTAGGTCTATAAATAGGTGTTTCATTTGTATTAAGGAGATGTGAAATAAAATTGAGATTCTCTTTTCCTCTTCATATTATTTTCTCTATTATTTCTTACAATTTTACCTTCATTTTATAACACGTTATCAGCACCATGATTCTACTACACATTTTTGCAAGAAAAGAACAATTTTGAATAAAAATACGATATTCTTTTATTTTTATTTTTCTTTTAGAAATATATCATTGTTTATTTTAATTATTGTATATATAAAATATATATATATATATAAGTAAATTACTAGTAATTTCATATTATTTTATTTTATTTTTTACTTTTGATCGTTATAATATTTAGATGATATCTAACTTATTTTTATTTTTATGATATCGAATCTTGCAAACCTCGAATTTGTCACACTTGATATTACGGGAAAAAATTACTTATCATGGGTATTAGATGCTGAAATTCATTTAGATGCAAAAGGTCTTGGAGATACTATCAAAGAAGAAAATAAAGCATCTAATCAAGATAAGGCTAAAGATGTGATCTTTCTTCGTCATCACCTTCATGAAGGTTTGAAAAATGAATATCTCACGGTAAAAGATCCACCTGTGCTTTGGAATAATTTAAAAGACAGATATGACCACCAAAAAACAGTCATTTTAGCAAAAGCTTGATATGATTGGATGCATTTACGATTGCAAGATTTTAAAACTGTTAGCGAGTATAATTCAACATTATTTAGAATCACATCTCAATTAAAATTGTATGGAGAAAAGGTCACTAATGAGATCAAAACTTCCAATTTTTACTTGGGGACATGCAATCTTGCATGCTGCAACACTTATTTGCATCAGACCAACAAGCTATCATATGTTATCCCCTTTGCAATTAGTTTCTGGTCAACAACCAAATATTTCTCATCTTAGAATTTATGAATGTATAGTGTATGTTCCTATTGCTCCACCACAACGCACTAAGATGGGTCCTTAAAGAAGGTTAGAAATATATGTTGGCTATGAATCTTTATCTATAATAAAGTATCTTGAGCCAATGACAGGAGATTTATTCACTGCTCAATTTGCTGATTGTCATTTTGATGAATCATTTTTTCCTACTTTAGGAGGAGAAAATAAATATTTGGAAAAAGAGATAAGTTAAAATGAATTATCTTTATCTCATCTTGATCCTCGAACAAAATAGTGTGAACTAGAAGTTTAAAAGATAATTTATTTGCAAAGTTTAACTAACCAACTACCAAATGTGTTTATAAATCCAAAAACAGTGACTAAATCATATGTCCCGGCTACTAATGCTCCAATTAAAATCAATGTTCTGATTGGACAATCTAATGTTGCAAATCAATCTGAATCACGTATGAAGCGTAGTAGACCTTTTGGTTCCAAAGATAAAAATCCTCAAAAAAAAAAGGAAGTAAGAATCAAGGTGACCAAAATGAGGATGTAAAGACTCTAGAAGAGTCATCAGACATAATTAATATTTTAGTTCTCGAAAAAACACAAGTACCTAAAAATGATGAAAATAAAGAGATCTCAATAAATTATGTAATGAATAGAATACAATGGAATCGAAATGAAGTCAATATTAATGATATTTTTTCATTCAATGTAACATTGGATGTGATATCTGATATAGATGATTATGAACCAAAATCAGTCAATGAGTATAGACAAAAAAGTGACTGGAAAAAAATAGAAAGTTGGAATTGAGGAAGAATTAAAGTCGCTTACAATGCGTCAAGTTTTTGGATCTATAGTTCTTACACCTGAAGATATAAAGTCAGTCGAATATAAATGGGTTTTTGTGCAAAAACGAAATGAAAAGGGTGAAATTGTGAGATATAAAGCACGACTTGTTGCCCAAGATTTTTCGCAAAGACCTGGTATTGATTTTGAACAAACATATTCACTTGTAGTGGATGCAAATACTTTTCGATACTTGGTCAGTTTAGCAGCAAATGAAGGACTCGATTTGCGATTAATGAATGTTGTTACAGCCTATTTGTATGGCTCACTTGATAATGACATTTATATGAAACTCCCTGAAGGTTTTAATTTATCAGATGCATACAATTCAAATTCTATAACCAATCAAGTTGAATAAATCACTTTATGGATTGAAACAATCTGGACGCATGTGGTATAATCGCCTTAGCGAATATTTGTTGAAGGAAGGATATAAAAATGACCCTATTTGTCCATGCATTTTTATAAAAAGATCTTATAATGAATTTGTAATAATTGTTGTTTATGTTGATGATTTAAATATTATTGGAACTCCTGAAGAGATTTCAAAAACAGTAAATTACTTAAAGAAAGAATTTGAAATGAAGGATCTTGGAAGGACAAAGATTTGTCTTGGATTACAACTTGAATATGTAAAGAATGAAATTTTTATGCATCAAGAAACTTATACTTCAAAAGTGTTAAAACGATTTTATATGGATAAATCACATCTCTTGTGTACTCCAATGGTTGTAAGGTCACTAGATGTAAACAAAGATCCTTTCAAATCTCGAGAACAGGATGAAGAACTACTAGGTCCTGAAGTACCTTATCTTAGTGTATGTTGCTTATCATACACGACCTGATATATCATTTGCTGTTAACTTATTAACAAGGTATAGTTCTTCACCTACAAGAAGACATTAGAATGGAGTTAAACATGCATTTCGTTACCTTAAAAGTACAATGAATGTGTTTATTTTACCCAAACAAATCTAAATCTGAGTTGATTGGTTATGCAGACGCAGATTTTTTGTCTGACCCACATAATGGTAGATCACAAACAGGTTATTTGTTTACATGTGGTGGTACAGCCATTTCATGGCGATCTATGAAACAAACTATAACGGCTACATCATCCAATCATGCAGAAATTTTAGCATTACATGAAGTAAGTCGAGAATGTGTTTGGTTAAAATCTATGATTCAACATATGCAAGAAACTTGTGGTTTATCTTCATAAAAAATGACCCCAACAATTATATGCGAAAATAATGTTGCATGTATTTCTCAATTGAAAGAAGAGTACATTAAAAAAGATAGAACAAAACATATTTCTCCAAAATTCTTTTTTACCCATGATCTTCAAAAGAATGGTGATATAAATATTCAACAAATTCGTTCATGTGAGAATCTAACAGATATTTTCACAAAGTCACTTTCAAGTAAAACTTTTGAACAAGTAGTTCACAAGATTGGACTTCGTCGTCTTCGAAATTATTGTCCACATGAGGAGGAGAATTAATACGCTTTACACTCTTTTTTCCTTAGCTATGATTTTTTTTCATTGGGTTTTCCTGGCAAGATTTTTAATGAGGCAGCATGTAATAGCGTAAATAATAATGTATTTTTCTTAAGTTTTATCTCATTGAATTTCTCCTAATTAGATGTTATGAAACATATTCTCAAATAATGGATATTCAAGGGAGAGTGTTATGAATTATTATATAAATAAATGTCTATATTCATAACTCCTTCTTATTCTTTATAACTTACAAATTTGTAACTATTTTGTTTAATTCTCATTCAAAGAGATATGATTCTTCAGTTATAGTTTTAGGCTTATAAATAGGTGTCTCATTTGTTTTGAAGAGATGTGAAATAAAATTAAAATTCTCTCTTCCTCTTCATATTCATATTCGTCTCTTTATTTTTTTTTATAATTTTATCGTCGTTTTATAAAAGTATTAAACATTAACAGTGAATTATTTTCTCACTATTTATGCGAGTCAATTTTGCCCTGAGAAGTGACAGAAGAATTACAAGGTAGAAGGAACAACCACTAATCTCCTTTGTCTCTTCTTGGAATCCTATCCATCTTCGAACCCTGCGGAGCCACATATTTTGGCCCAAAACATGATTATAAATTAAAAAAACAACACTCCATCCATGTGACGAGCCAATCTTTATACCAACCAAATCAGGAACAGAACAACACCCTCGAAGTCACGCAGCACAGAAACCCAAAGATTAAATAAACAAAGAAAAGTGAGTAGTGCCCATGATTGGATTATGATAATAAGAATAATAATAATAATAATATATTAAAGTTAGAAAGAGGAGGTAACGCTAAGCACGCGATGGCGGCGGAATCGGGTGGTAGTACCAACTTCGATCTTCCCGAGGAGGTGGTGCAAGTTCTACCGTCAGATCCATTCCAGCAACTCGATGTGGCCCGCAAGATCACCTCCATTGCGCTATCGACACGTGTCAACGCCCTCGAATCCGAGTTGTCCACACTTCGCGTCAAGATCGCCGACAAGGATAACCTCATCGCCGACCTTCAATCTCAGCTTGAGTCTCTCGACGCCTCCCTCTCCGAAACCGCCGACAAACTCGTTCGCGCCGAACAGGATAAGGTCCCAACCAACTTTGACTCTCTCTCTCTCTCTCTCTTACTTATTTGTGTATTTTGGTGCTTGAGGTTACAGGAGAGCTTGCTCAAGGAGAATGCTTCGCTTTCCAACACCGTCAAAAAGCTCAATCGAGATGTCTCCAAGGTGCATTTTACTGGGGTTTATTTATTGCAAATACTGAATTTTGATTTATTTTTTTATTGTATTGGTTTTGTAATTTTGTTTAAATTAAACATGGAAATGACAGTGAAATGGAAAATAAACTGCATTTCTATTGTTAGAGTTGAAATTGAATCGTTTTGGGATTATAATGTATATGGATTGTGGTTGTGGATGGCTTTTGGACTTACGAGCACTTCGTGTAAATGCATGCAGTTGGAGGTTTTCAGAAGGACGCTTATGCAATCACTTCAGGAGGATGATGATAATTCTGTGAGTTACGGTTACAGTTATTGAACGTTGCTGTCTGATTAAAAAGTTCTGTGTTCGTTAACTTTTTAGTTTTGAGTTTAATGAGGAGAGTTCGGTATTCTTTGTGTGAGAATTTAATGAGGATAATTTGTCTTGTCCTATCTTACTGATTTATACTTTATTGTCATGATAATTTTTTTATTCTACTACCTTATGCTATTTGTTTCAAGGGTATTTCCTAAATATAACATTTGGCTTCTACTGATGTTTGGCATAGGGAGGAGCTCCAGACATTGTTGCTAAAATGCAGAGTCAATCAAGTTTGACTTCCTCGTCGCAGTTTGGAGGTACTTCCAACTTGTTGCATGCTATCCACCTCTACAACATTGCATTTCTTTTTATTATTGCTTGGTGCCTTTTGTAAATTGCATTCTCTTTTAAGCTGCTTGTTTAATTTATTTTATTCATGCAATGAATTCTAGAGCGCTGAGTTTTTCTTTTCTTTTTCTAGTGTAGACGCATTATCAATATAGCAACGTCAAATTCTTACAATCTCATTTCCATTTCGTAAGGATTGGAACTATATAGAGAAATTGACATGCATTTCAGAAAACTGCTGGCTGTAACACTATGAAATACCGTTTAAGGCATATACGATACTTTTTTACTTTGGATATGCAGTCAGTATCTTATCATTTCAATGCCAGCACTAGCACATGTGTTTTCAATTTTCCATTGGTTTAAACTCTTAACAATGGCAATGATAATGCATAAACTATTAGGATTTAGATCCTCTCCCTTTCCTTGGGGTGGACAGTGCCATGTTTGGAAAGAAAAAAAGGCAAAGTTTCAGTTTACCAGGATCCAACTCACAATATTGCATAAGAGTGCTTTGTGGCTTTCACCTCTATAGCCCTCCTTTTCGTGCTTTTGCAGAATGGAACATTACATTGAGGTCCTTCAGCTGCACTTTTCTCATTTTCAGTTTTGAGAAGTTCTCATTTTATTGCAGATAACGATGCTGCATTGCCACCGTCTATATCTTCTTCAACGCAAACCAATAATTCTGATACAGGAAATACTTTTGCAGAGGATCAAGAATCTGATGGTATGTGTCATCATTTACTGAGGGAATGGATATGCATACATCTCAATTTGCATTACCAAAGACGATAGTATGGCATGTCTGTTTTGATATTGCTAAAATATGAACAACTATTATTTGTATGTGTATCCTTACCCTCTTGCATTTCTTTTCTGTTCTAAGTGCAGCCATAAGACCTAGAGTACCACCTAGTCTCCTCTTAGCATCTCAAACTTCCACCCCTCGGATTACTCCCCCTGGTTCCCCTCCTAGTCTGTCTGCATCAATTTCACCTACAAGAACATCTAAACCTGGGTCTCCAAGGCGACATTCAATTTCCTTTTCACCCTCAAGAGGCATGTATGATGATAGGTCTTCAGTGTTTTCCTCGATGTCCTCAAGTCACGGTTCAATATCAAGCTCCGACCCAGTAACAGGATCACAAACTGGTTAGTTCTTCCATCTCTATTACTTCTGCATTTGTGTAAATAGATTGTATTTAGAAATGTTTCATTAGATCACTCTGTATTGGAATATTTTCTTGGATCTTGCGTGCATATGATGAATGAAATGCTTAATATTTTCCAACACTGCAGCCTTACGAAGAATGTTTTAATTATATCACAACTTTATCTCTCATTTTATATTTTCTTACTGTGTTTGATAGGACGGACGCGGGTGGATGGGAAGGAATTCTTTCGCCAAGTCAGGTGAGGGCCTTTGCAACATTGAAAATTGTGGAACTTAATTCAGAAACTTGATGTTCTACTGATTAATGGCAACACCGATAGATTTAATTCGAGAACATAAACACGTGTACACGGGCATGATGTTCCATAATTTAAGAACTTGGCAGAATCCGTGGTTTTAGCTAACTTCCACCAGTTATTATAAGTAATTTCACCTATCAAACAATTTGCTATAAGCGTGATTTACGAAGTGGTTCCAATCTGTTTAACCCCTCTAATCAAAATAATCTCATCTTACACATTTTACAAAATATTTGAATTATCCATGCTACAGTGAATAGTTCATCATTTTGTCAAATTGAATCGATTATGTCAGTATCGTCTAACAGCACGTGGTCGGGGCTAAATAATTGGGTCTTATATTTAATATCGTGTTTGTTATGTTTAGGAACCGTTTGTCTTACGAGCAGTTTGGTTCATTCTTGGCAAATGTTAAGGAACTGAATTCCCATAAACAAACAAGAGAGGTAATTCCTCCTGTCTTGTTTCCTCTTTCATTTCATGCTTCCCCTTTCTGTTAATTGACACCTGTTTCTCTGTATGTAAAATTACAGGAGACGTTACGAAAAGCTGATGAAATTTTTGGGCCCGAAAACAAGGACCTTTACACAATATTTGAGGGATTGATTACTCGCAATGCCCATTGACATTGTGCATTAGGGAAGTTTTATACCGAGTTTGTAATAACTTATGCTATCGTCTCCATATAGCAACTCCTTTTTACCCCTCTGTATATTAGATTATCACGTTAGTTATTGTCTAATAAAGTCATTTTTTTGAACATGAACGCCTGTACATTTAAATGGATGAATGACATTTCTTGGTTGGACCAAAGGATTGCAGTGGTTTCCTTGTAGGGATTTAATGCATACACTTTTTTCTAGAGTCTGTGAGGGTTTTGTGAATATAAAATCCATATACAATGGTGCAACTTCTTTTGGGGGGGGGGGGGGGTGCTTGGATCCTTGAGTAATGATATATTTGCATAAGTTTGTTTCGAATAATTATTGTATATACGAAATAAGTGGTTGAAAAATCTTGAGCTAGATATAAAGATAATGTTTGACAATTAAGTTAATGTATTTATTGGTAAAAGAGAGAGTAAAAATCTAAGAATTATTTAAAAATAAATTAAAGCTTAAAATATTTATTAAATTAAAAATTAGTCTTCAGTTTGTAAAAAACTATTGTGCCATCAAATATAAAAGGGATGAATAAGTCTAAAACCAATATAATAAAAAAAACATAAATCTTAGGTACAATTTTATAAGTATTATTTAGAATTACATCCGTTACCATTGAAATTTTATATTAATAATCTATCCAATAAATATTGATGTTTAAAATTTAACGTAAATTTCTAAATTAATTAAGGTTTTAAATTTATTGAAAAACAGTGGCGATAATACTACATTGTATTTTACTTAAATTTTGCCAAAAAATATAGTGCCACTTTCCTCCAATATTTCACAGGAAAAAATAAATTATGTAAATTTCAACATTAAATTTTGAACATTATATTTAACAGTGTGTAACTTATGTTTATCTCAATCTTTATATTTTTATCAATGCATATATTAAAAGTGCTTTATCAAAATTGGGAAAATATTAACTTATGTTCAAATAATTAACAATGATTATTTTAATAAAAAAATATAATATTTAGTATTATCAATACGCTTTGTCAATATTTTAAAAGTGAAAAAAAACTGAAATTGTTGTGAAAAATATTACTTAAAAACTAATGTTGGAAAAGAAGATTTTTAAACAAAGGGAAGTGAAAAGGTTAGCGAAGTCCCGTCCCACACAAAAACAAAAACTAGTAAACTACCCCTCCCGCTCGGCGACTTGGATTTGGAATGATTTTAGAAAGAGAAAAGAAAGAAGGAGGAGAGAGAAATCATTTTCCGGGAAAATTAAAGTGCGAATCGGAATCCGAAAATGAGTAGGGTTTGGATTTTGCTATTCCTGTTGCTGATCTCCCAGTCCAATGAAGTCTGCAGTTCCTACGCGGGTTCCGCTAGCTCCATCATCAACCCTTCTAAGGTCAAACAGATTTCCTGGAAGCCAAGGTAGGCTCTCTTTTCCATTCCTTTCTCTGTTTGCGTCGATTCCATGCTTTAACTTTATGGAATTCAAATCCACACGTGCAGAGCTTTCGTTTATGAAGGTTTCCTCACGGATTTGGAATGCGACCACTTGATCTCTGTAGTGAGTATTCATTTCTATGCCTAAACAGTGACTCTGATGCACTCAAATTTTATGTTGTCTAATTTAGTGTTGTTCATGTAGGCCAAATCTGAGCTTAAGAGATCTGCCGTAGCGGATAATCTCTCTGGAGGGAGCCAGTTAAGTGATGTTCGAACAAGCTCTGGCATGTTCATTCCTAAGAACAAGGTTCCCTTCTCGTTTCTGTTTGTCTGATGAGTAGAATGAACTCTTCAATTTTTCTTATTTCTTATCTTGATTTTTTTTTATTCATAGGATCCTATTATTGCCGGTATTGAGGACAAGATTTCATCATGGACCTTTCTTCCTAAAGGTGCTACTCCCTATATCGAATCACCAATCACCATGAAATTATTGTGTGTACTAGTATTTTTACTTCCTCTAACTTCAGATAGATCTTTTGTCTATTGTCAGTGGTTTGTATTATTACTTGCTTGTTGATGGGTCCACAATAATTATTCTTAGCGTTGTCACCAATTTATTAGCCTCTAGTTTTATGATGTTTGATTTTTTATGACCAATGCGGAGTTCGATATAGGACAATAAATTTCAAGATTTTCTGTGATCATTATTAATGGCTTGCTGAATTTCAAGTTAATTAATAAAGGGCAATAAAAAATAAAAATAGATTGCTCTATAATAAAGTAAACATGACTATTTTCAGTTGCTCAGCTGAACGAGAAAGGTAGAAGTATTTCAATGAGCAGGTAAAAACTGGCCAAAAAAAAACCTTTTACGATTTGATTGAGACAATTGAAAATAGGATGACCCACACTGAAAGTGATGTGAGGATCAGAAGAGTAGTCTACCCTTCACTTATGAATCAATAGTGTTTATGTGAAAACTATTTTCATATTTTAAATTATTGTGCTACCTGCAATTTGCAAAGTTTGGAACTGCAGAAGAGAATGAACTCGTGTTTGTACGATCAGTTAAATGATGAAAATGTTCAAGATTCTTTTCCCTATCTTGTCCTCTCTCACTACAGGCACTAGTCAGTTTCCTTATATTTTGTCATTGGATTTCAGAAAATGGGGAAGATATACAGGTATTGAGATATGAGCATGGACAGAAATATGACCCGCATTATGATTACTTCACTGATAAAGTTAACATAGTTCGGGGTGGACACCGTTTCGCGACTGTTCTCATGTATCTCACTGATGTGACCAAAGGCGGTGAAACAGTGTTCCCTTCTGCAGAGGTTTGTATAGAAAATCAATAATTGATGCATGTCTTTCCTCGGAATTAAATTATATATTTGAAAAATCATGTCTAGTTTGTAAAAAAATAAAAAATAAAATTTTGATTGAATGGTCTTCGTGTCCAGCTGGGTTAGTGCCCTTTTTTAAGTGCCAGTTGAATTTATCAGAATGAATGATTCTTTTTTTCAGTGTGCCAAATCAGTATGAATTGTTCTCGTATACTATGCTATTTCTATGACAACAAATAGAGAACGCCTTAGAAACTGAGCAGTAAATTTGTAGATAAAAGTCTGTTTCTGACCGGGGGACCCCTTGTTTGGATGCTTGAAGGGAGTATATGATTTAACTGTACATGTAAAAGTACATGTTATGCACTCTGGCACTGCACTCTTCCTTACTATCTTTTATTCCATTGATATATAGCTATTTTGCTTCTGAATTTTCATTCTTGCAGGAATCTCCACGTCGCAAAGGTTCTGAAACATATAGTGATCTCTCTGAATGTGCCAAAAAAGGAATAGCAGGTTAGCAATTGGATAAGTAATTACTTTTACGGGTCTTCCTCTCTTTTATAGTTTCATATGTCTGCCGATCAACTTAAGGTTTTATAGTTGTTTTTCTCTTCTTACCTGGCATTGCATAGTGAAACCGCGTAGAGGGGATGCACTTCTCTTTTTCAGTCTTCACACAAATGCAACCCCAGACACTAGCAGTCTCCATGCAGGATGCCCAGTAATCGAAGGTGAGAAATGGTCAGCAACAAAATGGATTCACGTTGACTCGTTTGATAAGACGGTGGGTGCTGGAGGGGACTGTTCTGATCAGCATGTAAGCTGTGAGAGATGGGCTTCCCTTGGAGAATGTACTAACAATCCTGAGTATATGGTTGGATCTTCAGACCTTCCTGGGTACTGTAGGAAGAGTTGCAAGGCATGTTAGAAATTTTACTCGATGCTTTCCAGATTCCACATGGTTTTCTGCCACCGGGTTTCAAATTTCAATTGGTTCTTTCCTGGATTGTAAATTAGTTATACGTCATTGTAATGGATAGCTTTTCAGGCACACCGCCTGGCTTCTTCAAGTGGCAGAACTGAGTTGTTCATCCGGGATTCTGCTTTTTTTACATGGGTTATTTTGTATGAATAAAACGACGAACAACTATAAATAATTAATTATTAGTGTAATAATAATAATAATTAAAAATTATTTTCAATGACAATTTTAATATTTCCAAACAATAATGAAATATAATTTACTTTACAGTGTGAATTCAGTAAGATAAAGAAATTCTGTACCCAAAAAAATATTTACAAATGTCGTTGCAAGCTACTTTTGAGAATGTGAGTGGCAGGAAAAGGGATCGTGATCACACTTGGCAGTCTAAAAAAGTTAAGTCGAGCAAATACTTAAAATTCAAGTTTAAATTGTGAAAAAAATCTATAATGCTTAAGTTTCATTAAAATAAAGTCAAATTTAAAACTTGATTTGTTTAAAAATATAAAAATTTTGTTAATCGTTTTTAGGCTTAACTTTAAATATACAAAAATGATAATTTTTTATAAAAAATATTTATTATATTTTTGCATTTATGATATAATAAACACCTATTTTTTAAAAAAAATTAGAAAATATTTGGATAAACAACTTAAGTTAAAAAAAATATAAAAATTATAATTTTTTAAACACCCATTTAATATTACTTTTAGATACTCAAAATCAAACATAATAGTCGACGACAATATTTTTCATAAATAAGACACCGTGCTATTTCATTGGTATCAAAAGTGAAAGTATGGGTTTGGACTGCGTTAGTGTTTCGTTCAAATCAGAATGTTGCAGTACGTCACAGGTGTCGAATTTATTGTTGGAGAATCAGAAATGAGTAGCCTCAAGCTTGGTAATCGTGAGGATGACTCCATTCTTTCCTCTGTTCTTTAAAGCTGGCTATCTTAGCTGTTTGTTGCTGATCTCCAAGCTTGTTTGCATACAAATTATTATAAGCCTTAGCATCCACACTGCTTAAAATTCTCACTAATTTTCCATGTTTCTCATCCACCTCAATTTTTCCATCACTGGATTCAATGCCATCAGCCAAGACTTTAATAGGGTTTACCTCAAATTTCGGATTAAGACTTGAAGGGCTATCAGCCAGGACAACTGCACCTAGAATTTCCCCCAAAAATGTTTCCTGCAAAGTCAAAGGAGAAAATATATTAAAATGATTCTAAAGTTGGTTATTCTCCTTTTTGTGTCACAAACAATAAACATGTCTTAGAATAACCGCTGACGTTGATGATGTTAAAGAGGACTAAGGTAGACAAAATAAATTAGTTGTAGACAGGAACTTGTACCATATGCTGATATTTGTTATTGATTTGCTTTAACCGGTATAACCTTGACAGCAGACGCTCGGAAAAAACAGCCTCAGGTGTTTTTTGTGTCCCACGTAACCAGCCTATAGTAGTTGAAAATGAAGTTACCTTGCGCTGGGTACTGAGTGGAATGAGTGTGATGTTAAGTTCTGATTCAAACACTGTCTTAGCTGCTAAAGGATCCAGGAACATATTGAATTCTGAAAATTGGTTGGAAGGAACAGAAAAGACATTTCCTTTGTCATTGGGGTTGCTGCTTATGTGCCCCCCCACTACATAAACCTCCTGCAACATTTGGGAATTGTTATTCCATGCTATCAGTGCATATTGTAATAATCTGCATTGGCAAAATGTTCAGTGCAGAATTAAGTGGTTCCTTTTGGCTAAAAGTTAGTAACTTTTACCCAAATTACCAGAAATATTTTCAGGGGTTACTCTCAAGTCCACGTCTGTAGTAGCTGATCGTTCTTGATGATATATATAATATACCAATTCCAAAAACATGCTAACAAATATATACTATATAACTCACCTGAATTCTAGAGCTTATGTCTTTCACCGATACAACCTTTGCCAAATTAGTCAAGGGCCCACTGGTTAATACGGTAATCCTAGACTTTGGATCAGTTTTTAGCAATATAGATTCCCAAACTTCCAAGGCTAGTGGCTGTCTGAGTTCAGGGTGATCTGTATTCCGAGGTGCTCCAAACTTAACAGAATTTTCTGCTGTATACCTGAAATTGTTCCTGATGAGTTAGTCAATAGCTCGTAACAAAACACTGGAAAAATTTTCGGGCAAGCAAGCCAGTAAAACGCCACATTAGAAGGTGACTAAGTTACAGAATGCACAGTTCAAACGAAGTTAAGTCCTAATTATTAGTGAAAAAGTTAAAATAGCGAATTTCACAAATTATTATTATTATATTATTCAAGGAAAATAATTCTTTCACTGTTTTTTCTTCACAACATGCATTACCCTTGCTTCTTTTGTCAGATTTTGTGTACCGACATGGCGTGGTGCATTGTAAATTCATATAGCAATTTCAATTCCAAATAACATCTTCCATTCCACATAGCCTACACACGATTTCAATAATGTTTGATGAGCAATCTAAAGGCATAAAAGTAACTAAAAAGCACCTTCTTGGGCTGCGTGGTAATTCACGAGCTAAACCATAAAGAGTGTCAGAATCCAGAAACCCCCCACTCCCATGGGGAATGGCTTTAACATACTTGCAATCTCCAACAGCTGAGAATATTGGATCTGACTGATTCATTGCAAAGACATCTCCTAGACCAACTGGAATATCATCACGACCCATCATGTGAAGTAAGTCATAGATGACATCTATAGTTGCTGAATTAGCCCATCCAGTAGGGCTCACAATGATTGCCTGGTTCAAAACATATACAATTCAACAAAAGAACAGAAAAGGTTGACAAATTAGATGTAGAAAGGTTCTTGATTGAGCTAAAATCATAAAGAGTTTTTCATTTTGGCATGAACCTTTTCCTATCTTGTCAATATTTCATTTACCATATAGAACATTAATTCAAAGAAACAATAAAAAAAGAAAAATCAGAATACCTTAAGGTCGATTACTTGAACAGGCACTTTTAGGAGGTAAAATAGAGCCATAAAATCTCCTGCACTCATGTCCATGTCAAATACAACAGGTTTCCCCAGTTTTATATTTTGAAAATCTGGCTTGTAAGTCACTTCTCTGTAGTAAGGAAACTGTCTTGTGAAGTTGAACTTTCCAGCATTTTGTGGCCGCTTTAGAGCCTTTGACCCAACAAAATACAAATGTCAGATTCATATACATTTATCGTTGTAAAAATCCACACATTCTAAGCACAAATAATTCAGTAATAGTTTTTTTTTCCTAGTCAACTTATAATGTAAGTGCACGTTTTTCCTCACAATATACCGAAAAAGTGAACATACATCCAAGAAGCTTATAAAATATTCTCTGTCAAGTAAGCTTCCAACATCTCGGTTAGGCTTTGCTTTTGTGGCAACAAGTACCCTCACTGAGTCTGGACCACGTGTCTCCATTGTGAAACCATCCTATAGAACATGTTACAGTGATCACACATATAGCATTTACTATACATATATACGTGATAATGTGTATAAGTTACGAAGCAACCTAAAAGGGAAAGCAATACCTGACATCTCCCTTTTCCATTCTTCACAAAGCAAAGTGGATCTCTAAGTCCTTGTTGAATGTGACCACTATGCACCCCACCCTTTGCTAGATTGAACTTAGGAACTTGTAGGTTATCAAAGAATGGGTTGGAGCCATCAGATATTCCATAGGGTTTGTTAGAAGTAACAACAGTTATGTTCATAAACTCCATTTCAGCAAATTCATTTTCTCCTTTTTGGTTATTGGGTTTGCTCATGATTGAGACGGCTATACCAGCTGCGAAAGAGTCCCACATAAAATAACTCTGCCACCAACAATGAATATTAGTACTTTGGGTATTCATCAAACAAAGTAAATGTTAAATAGTAACAGAAAATAATAGGCATGCATAAATTCATTGAAAAATTACCGAATAGAATTCGTTGTCAAACCAAGTATCACGAGCCATTTTCAAGGATTTGAAACAGTATTGTGCCTCGTATGTGTCTTGACTCTTTTCGAATGCATTAAAGAAGTCTTCATTAATGGGGATTGTGTTTGTTGCATCAAGAGGAACAAGGGTGACGGGAATTCCAGAATGAACCACCTAAAAAATTATATATAATTTTTCATGATTCATGAACGTAGCTATGCACAGGGTTTTTTGTCTGATACAGAGTGTATTTGAATAAACCTAAAAGATATAAATGTCTTATAATGCATTTGATTGCTATAAAAATTTTAAAACATGTTTTAGATAAATAATAAAACACTTTTTTCTTTTTTCTTTTTTTAAAAAGGACTACCCATAAAACTTTTTTTCATCACAACATACATGGATTTGAACCTTGAGAAGAAGAATGCCAAGTTAGGCGCAGTTGACATTTAAGTAAACAATAATGATTAACATATATTTCAAATGAAGCTAAAAAAACATTTTATTCTTTGTGAAATATCAATAAATAGAACATTAATGGTGTTATTTAGGATTTAAAATATCTTAAATTTAATGATTTTTCTAAAAAATTGATTTATATGAAAGTAAATAAAATGGCTTCGAAGAGTTAAATAAATAAACCAGCACAACGTATATTACTTGCGCAATTCACTGATTACTGACTAATGTATGTTAATAATTTCTTTGAAGCAAGAATTGGTTTTATGCATGTGGAAATGTGGCACCTGGTATGCTGCAAAAGGGTCTCCAAATATATTGAACTCTGCATAAGGGTTAGTATTATAATCCGTAAACATATTGCCACGGTCACCACACTGCCGAGGCACGCAGGAAGATGAAGCATTTTTGGGGCAACACCCTGTGGGATTGCTTGATCTCACGCCACCACCCATTATATAAATGTGTTCCACATTTTTCTTTAGGTGTGGATTATTCATTAGGAAAATTGCAATGTTCGTATGTGCTCCAATCACAAGCAAAGTTATGGGACCTGCAGATACTTTTTCGATCAACACTTGCTGAGCCGTTGGTTGTTGCAGTGGACAGTATTTTCTTTCTCCCTGATTTCATGATTAAATTAGCAAGCAAATGAGTACAGTAAGTAATTAGGCTATCGAAAATTAAAACAAACGAATTAACTGAATATATAAAGCAACCAACCCTCTTTTGTTATCAAGTTCAATTGAACATTATAATAGTACAATTTAATAAGTTATCTACTCAATGAAGGAAATTTTGGATTAATAATAAACGAAGCAAATGGGAAACCCAAATGGAATCAGATGTTAAAATTTATTGCCTAAATGCAAAGGTGGATTTTTGGGTACATGCTTAATGGTTGATGAAAGACTTGAGATGTCTTATTCTACAATATGCATATACCTGTGGTAGGAAAGCTTTCCTGATACCATAATTTGAATCGATATCTAAGCGGCCTCCAAGACCCACAGGAATGGCCCGCCTGTAGCTGCAACCTCCTACTGTCGTCATCCCCTGATATTCAACATTGAATTAACATATCATCACAACACAAAAATTCCTGATTATTAATATTTTATAAATCTTTAAAAATCCTAATTAGTAATAAAGAATGAATTAACAATAATGTGTATATTATTAACATTCTTTAACAGTAATAAAACTGAAAAATATAAATGTATTTTTTTTAGTTATTTACTTTTGCAAATTATGAATGGCACTGTGGAGCAGGGTCTTGACTACACTGTCCATTTATGGAAACTCAAGTTTCAGAAAAGGACAACATATATAGTAAAAACATGAACCTGTTCTATAATTGGTAGATATCCACCAACATCAGGGAGTATGGTACCATTTTCAAGTATCCCACCTTCACCTCCCACTCCAACTGCGACATCATCTCTCCCCATCATGTAAAGTAGGTCATAAATTTGATTAACAGCATGCCCAGCACTGGTCCAACCATTTGCATTGATGGTGACACCCTGAAAATTTAGCACCAGACCGTAAAAAAAAAATGGATCCATCACCAGTTGATAAACAAATGTGGGAAATGGTTTAATACTTACCTTAATTATAACTTTTTTGATATGAGGCTTTAACATTTTAATTAATTTAGTAAGATACAAATTAAAATATGTAAATTTGAACACACACACATATATATATACTTGATATATTTTTTCATCCGTCGTTTTTATTTTGGATAAATTACATTCTTATCCTTTGAGGTTTAGTATTTTCTTTTGTTCTGTACAAACTTCTCTTAACAATATACAACACTGTATAGTTTTTTTTATTACATAAATCATTTTAATTTTTAATACAATTATACGAATAAAAAGATATCAAAATAGTACAAAATAAAATTTTGTTAAACTTCAAAAAAACATGAATATAATTTAGCCTTTATCTTTATTTCGTTGAAGATAGATTTTCTCTTTTATTCTCCTTTCCTCCTCTTTACATTTTCCTTTTTTTTTTCTCTTTATTTTATGTACATCATTTTCTTTGATTTTTTTGTCAACTCAATATTTTTTAAAATATACCTAGTTATTTAACCGATAAAAATTCTGATTTACAATTCATTGATTCAATCATGATCCAACTATTAATTGTAAGAAAATAAAAAAATAATATTGCATAATATATCTAATAATATAATATTTAATAAATAATAATATCTGTATATAAATAATATATATGGGTCTATATTTATTTTAAACTAAAATTTTAAAAATATTAAAAAAAACTATTCAAATCAATTTTTTACAGCAATTCTTAAAAAAAAATTCTTTATCGGTTTCTTAAGTTATTGAAATTAATAATCAGGCCAAATTCCAATTCAACCGATTAAAAAATGTGATGTGATTAAAAAAAAAAAAGGCTCCAAGTTCACAACAAATATAAGTTGGATTGAGACTGTCTATATTTTATAAGTTCTATAAAGAAAATAAAAAATGATTTCCTTTTTCTTTATGTTTATTTTGAGTTCAATTTTACCTTTTATTTTTATTTATTTCTCTACTTTAATTATTGGTTTTAATATTTTCACTTTGATTCGTTTTATCTCACCACTTAACAAAGTATATTATGTGATATTCACGTGGTATTGACCCCTTGAATTGAGTTTTAGGTTATAATTATAAAGCTTAAAATGTTGTTTTGTACATATAGAGAATTAAACTGAAACTTCAAATAAAATTTGAGTTTAAAATAAAAAGTTAAATAAAGAAAAAATACGTAGAGTTTGTATTATTTTCTCTCACTTTATGGTTAGTTCCAAAATGACGAAGACATAAAAACGTTTAGTTAGGTTAATTACCGAAATAGAATTTAATTATTATTTATATAAATGAAAGGAGAAACTAAGAACCGTAGCCGTAAAGTTTGATTTGAAAACTGGAGAGCACATGGAGACACCACTGTTGCCAACTGTAAAGACATTACTTTTTATTTTAAATATTTTGTTTTTCTAACGTTTGCATAAAATTTTATTATATATTTTCAGATACGAATTAAAAATAATTGTTTAAAAAAATTTAAAAATAAACCGCTCAACGAAGTTTGCTTTGCTAATAAATTATTTCAAATGCACTCAATACAACCAGTCTCAGCGAGGCCGAGGACTGCCCTGTCTGGATCACGGCACACAAAACGGAGTTTAAAGAACTAATAATATTAATTTTTAAATACTATAATTTTTTATCCTTTATTTTTATATTTTTTTATACGTAATTTAAAAAAATTATTTTTAATTTAAAAACTTAATTTAAAAAACTAATAGTAATATTTTTTATAAAAAAATATTTATCATACTTATATAACTTTAATATAATACTTTTTTTAATATTTAAATTCAACTCTAAAAATTAAAATAAACAAAATAATGACATATAATAAAATTTTGTATATAATATTTATTAAAATATATATAATTTTGATACAATTTAATATATTAATATTATTAAATACTATAATTTATAATAAAAACATATTTTTCTATCATGTATAATTTTATACAAGTTAGAAAATTTTATTTATTATTAAATAAAAAAGTATTGAATGTGTGTTTATTATATTTTTATTCATATCTATTTTATAAAATAATAAATTATTAAAAATAAAAAATTATACCAAAGCTAAAAAAAATTGTTAAAAGTCAACATAATAGGAGGCGAGGCTGTACCGAACAGCTCCCCAATGCACAACCCATTATGACGTCTAATTAGAAGTAGGTTAGGTTGCTTACCCTAAGTCCGTATCTTAAAGTAAAAATTGATGCCTATTCAAACATGACTCTAAACACGTTATAACTATATTTATGTCTTGAAACTCATATATATTTTTTAACATCTAAGGCATTATACATTAATTACTGACAAAAAAGGGCATTATACATTGGTGGAGAAAATAATTAATATTTATATTTTATAAAAAATTTAGTACTTTACAGATTTTTATATTAAACCTTTTATTTATAATACTAATTAATATCTCATTTAATATTTTTTACCAAGCATACAGTAATTATTAAAATAAAATTATGTAAAAAAATTATTCATTGGTTTGATAAAATAACAGTAATAAAATAAACTCATTCAAGTGTAAAAAAAAAGCAAAGGGAATATTTTACAAACAGGTCAGAAGCTCGTTTACTTTGGGAAGCTAACTTTACACATTTTTGTAGAACTCAAAAACGTTCAAATGGAAAGATTTTTCGAAGGAAAAATCTTGAGATTTTCATAAAATTCCGTTTGGAGAAAGATTCAAGCAAGGTGGAAAAGGCATTAGAAAAAGAAGGGCACAAAACAGAGGAAACTAATGAATAATTATACAGTGGATAGCTTCATTTGCTCACCTCCAATTCAATTTCTGATCTGTTGAGCTTCAAAAGGTAGAGCAAAGCGAAGAAATCATCGGTATCAACATCAGTATCCACGAGAATCCGATGGGGTTTGGACTCCATGGAACCTCCAAGAGTTCCTACAATCAACACTAACAATAGAGCAACCCACGGTCGAGACCTCGCCGACAACATTCTCAGTCGTTCAACAGAAACCTCGACCGGGTTAAAGTTTGGATCGTGCTGTGTCTTGTGCTAAAATTGATCGACGAGGGCTATTTGCTCATACATCACTCTCATTGGTTCCTGTTACGACAAAGATAAAAAGAAACATAATCATAGTGAAAAGAACGCAAACATGAGATATTTATGTATATGTCTTTGAACAAATGAGGAGCATTCACCGCAATGAGCGTGTTGGAATAGAGACACGAAGCAAGCACGTGGTCCTTGGCCCTTAACTTTTGAGAACTGAATCTGAAAGAGTAACATTACTGCGCTCATTCCCTTCAATTCACAGTGTATCTTCTTTGACATAGATGTATCAACAGATATGTTTATTTTTCTCGTATCAACGTTTCTTACGGGACGTCCATTCTTTTGTTTTTATTTTATTTTTTAAGGTCAATATTGGATTATTATAAATTAAATATCGAGAGAGTTGCTTCCAAGAGAGACAACTTGCAGCGGGGCATTTCACATGTTTTACCTCCTTTTTTCCATATCATATATATATATATATATATATATATATTACTCACTTGTTTAGATAAATAAAAAATAATTAAATTATATTTAAAGTGAGTAAAAATTATAATTAATTTAAAAAATATTATTTTTCTTATCATTATTTTTTAGTAAAAAATATTTTTAAAATTTTATATTATATAAATATTTTCTAATAATTTAATTATTAAAACAAACTCTTAAATTTTAGTGAAAAATGCAGTTTTCATATGAGAAATATTAAATTTAAACTGTAAAATTATATATAAATTATTAATATTAAAGATTTTTAAAATCATTCAATTATTTTTTTAAATTCAAATGAATTTTTAAATTATCACGGGACTTTTTTATATTTTAATCTTAATAATTTATAGTAAGATTGAATGATTAAGATTCATTTATATATATTTCCGTTTGTTATGTTCTCGCTTTATGTATGGGGAGAGAGAGAGAGAGAAAGAGAATTTATACAGTAAGATTTTTTATATATATAAGAAGAAGTATAGAACTACAATCATATATACGTGGTTAAGATTAAAAATTAATAAAAGTTACATAATTGTTAAAAATCACTACAATTTAATGTTTTAAATTTAATCATTAATGATAAAATTAAATAATTATGATTTATTTTTGCATTCTCATGTAAATAATTATCAATTTTATCTTTTTTATTTTAAAATTAAAATATGTTAACTTCTAGTTTTAAAAATAAGTTTGAATAATTAATAATAATAATAATTTATTAAAAACATTTATTACAATTTTTATAGGTTCAATATATAAAAAAATATATATTTTATATAAGATTGATTCGATGTTTCATTCTCAAGGATTTGCCGAACTGTGAGTTGAGATGACTTTGCTATTGTCGTGTGCCTCATTACACAAGACCGCATTTCTTCTCATTGTTGTCGAGGAATCCTTTCAGCTACAGAAAGTTGTGTTTCTGTCTTGTAATAGATATTGAATAGGTAGAATTTAGTTTTAACAGCTATTAGAAGAAAGATATATAACTTTGTTATGTTAAAACTTTAACATGAAAATATCTGTTTCCCCTAATCACATCCACATTTATGTAGTAACCCCCGTGAACTATACGTACAGTGATGCCCCACATACTTGAGGATTCATCCTATGTTTCACTTAACCATCCATTTTAGCCTTTAAAATTATATGTCTTAATCAATTTATTCTTTAACTTCATCAAAATCCCACTTTAATTTTTATCTTTTTATTCATTTTTAACCGACGAGAGTACTTGGTGGAAGAGAATGAGCGGCAAAAAAATTAATAGAGTAACATAATAATTGAAGAAGCCAGGAACTCGGGCAATTTGCACTTGATTATCATATGAATTGGAAAACTTTAAAAGAATTGGCCTGTGGAGCTTCTCCTTGGCCACATGAGAGCCTCTACCTACCATGCTAGAGTAGTAGAGTGCATAGCACTGATGACAAGAGGCTAAACAAAATCAAAATTTAGTAGATCCACTGGCCGAAAATAAGAACCCAATAATGCAGTGATATATGACACAAGCTTAGATCTCTGTTATCTCAGCAATTGAACAACTATACTAATATTGACATTTATTAGATCCTGCTATCAAACTTCTTACTTGAGGAAAGGAACCTGCACTTAGTATGAAAAACATTTCTCTCCAGTTCCCTAAGATGGATATCCTACAGCATAAACTGAAGGGAACAACTGTTATATGACATGGATACATTGTCGGTTCCCATTTCAATCTTAATCCTATTAACCAAATCAACTATTCCCTTCCCAAATTATAGAGCTATAAGAAGCCTCAATCTAATAAGCGCACATAATCAATTTTTTCCCCTTAAAGAAGGATCAATGGATTCATGAATAAAACACAATCACGAGTTAAATAAACACAAAAAGAGAAAAGCCCCTAAATGATTTTGTAATTTAATAAGATAAGATTCGTCTACCTCATTATTGTCCCTCTATATACTATACGACAAGAAAGAACCACAAAAGTAAATCTTAGAAACATGAATTAGAAAATAAGAAATAAAATCTCAATCAAAATCTAACCCAAAAACGTGAAAAAGGGCTTATGAAGAAGCAGCTTTCGGGTGTTAGCACGAAACCCTGAGTCGGACTCGTCGTGATACCAACCCACCGATTTCTGAGCTTCCATGACGATTTGGGAAAGACCTGCAGTGAGGAGAAGGGTAATTGAGAAAAAGGGTAATTGAAAATTCAGAAATTGAAGAGAGGAAGATTCGAAATTGAGAATGAAAAGGGTAAAATACCTTGTCGAACAGTTTGTTTGTTGTTGCGGATGTCGTGTACGGTAGCGGAGATTTTCCAATACAGAGGACGACCAATGTAGAAGAGAAGGAGAAAGACAAGACTCACAATCACAATGCGGAAAACAATCCTTGATGTCTGTGAAGCCATTCTCTTCTCTGATGAATGAAACAAACAATGATGAGATGAGCTTCAAACAAGCCCTCTTCTATATCTCTATCTTCTGTTCCTCTCTTCCTATTTCCACTTTCTAGTGCTACACTTGTTGCCACGTCACTGTTTTATTCCTTCGTACAAGTTCTTTCAAAGGTTATTTTATTGTTCAAATTATAATTCTGCTTTTCTATAATTTTATTTTCACTTTGCTTTTATGACTTCGAGATAAGTCTTGTATGTTAAATTTTAAAATTTGTTAATAAAATAGGGGAATTTGTTTTTATAATTTTCCTTTTCTCTTAATGGGTCATAGGATTTCTTTAATATCAAACGTTTCATATATTTTTCAATATTATTATTTGAAATTAATCAATCCTGAATTGTATGGTTAATGCTAAAATATTCTATATTTATATATTTAAATTTTGACGCATTATAGTATCAATGATTGATTCATATAAATTTTGATATTTTCTAATCAATTTTAAAAGTCATATTTTTTAAATTTATTCCTAATTCGTATACAGTGATTTCAAAAGTCTCATCTCTTTTTTTTTATATAACAAAACTATTTTTTATTACTAGATAATGTCTCTTATTGTACTTTATTCTCCTTATTAAAACACGTGATTTATCATTATTTAATAATGATATCATAATATATTTTTATTTAAAAATTTATCTAAATTCATAATTATTTATTTTATTTTTTAAAAGTAAATCCATCATTACGGTCAAATATTTTAATACTAAAATTTAAAAATATTATTAAAAGTTTATAACAAAAATTAATTTAATTTAAGGAGAAATATTTTTTTTCTTTGGGTTATACATTTGCTTACTTTAACCAGGTCCAATTCTTTGACTGATTTAAATAAGAGGAGCTAAACCCTATACTTCAATGTATGAATTAAATTAAGTGTAGTATAAAAATTAAAATTGGATTTTCTGAAGACTGACTGTATTATAAAGATGCCCCAAATTCATTTTGGCACAGTTTTTAAAAGCCTATATTAAATTTGGATCTTATAATTAAAGTTTAAATGACTTCTTTTCCTATTGACCAAAAAAACATAACCTCTTTACCAAGTTTTGGCATTAATAGGAGACGCTAATTTCTTGACGCAGGCACATGCTTCAATAATGTAAAATTATTTGAATAAGCTAACAATACAATAGCGAATACACATCAACTACTATTTGTTACATCAAAGCATTTCATCTATAACTCTCATATCATATGGCCTGCATATAGTTTTGTTCTGTTGTTTTCTGCATTACTTGGCAATGCTGTTCCTACCCATTTGTTTCAAATTGATCTAAAAGAATTTGATAAATAATATAATTGCACAAGATCCTCTTAGTGTGATTTTGGTTTGGGCTCTAAGCTTTGTAGCTCTTTTTCTCCCTACGAATTGATGCATGCCTGAATTTCTTCAAGTGTTTTTCCTTTGGTTTCTGGGACTAACTTGGCCACGAAAAGTATAGTTAAAAGGGAACATCCAGCATACAAAAATAAAGTACCTGGTGAAATAAGACATGAAATATATGTTACTAATTATTAGATGGAGAAATAAGAATGCTAACAAATGATGCTTTTTTACTATGCTTACCAGGAGAACTCCAACTCATTAGAAAGTTGAAAGTGTATGAAACAATCCAAGCACCAAACCAATTCACCAAAACCACCAAGCTACCAGCAGTTCCCTTCACATGTATGGGAAATATCTGCAATGTGAAAACCAGTATTAGAACATTAGATTTACTTGCCAAACAACATGAACAGGAAAAAAATGGTTTATAAAATATTTGAATCATTCAAGTGTGTTTTGCCAAATGATACATACCTCAGACATTATTACCCAAGGAACCGGTCCCAATCCAATTGAAAATGCTGCTACGTATATCTGATTACAATTTACAAGTAGTGCCAACAAGGTGATGGAAAATTAGGTGAAACTGGAATTTGAGTTAAGAGATTACATAATTAAATATTTAATAAGCCCAACAACATCTTCAGAAGAAGACTTACCAGCACGCCAGCAACTGCTAATATTGGTACCCACCCAAGCAATAAGTTCTGACCCTGATCCATGAAATCATAAAGCAAGAAATTTAGAGATACACACGCTTAATATTTGGAGAAAAATTATTATTAGAAACTTACCTTGAGAAAGAAAGCAATTCCAGTAATAAAGCAGCCTAAAAATGTCCCACTTGCTGATGTCTACAGGCACACAGGCACTTCTATTAGGCATCAAAGCTCTTATTCCCCTTACTTTTTAGATGGTATCAATATAATTAAAAAATTGAGTGCTTGAAAGCGGATTTACCATTATAAGTGGCCTTCTTCCAGACTTATCCATCAAAATGGCTCCCAATGCAGTCAATGGAACCTGTCATTGAGTTTATCATGAAGTTCAAAAAGATAATTGAGGTTATACTATATATGTGACTATTGTCTTTGAAATCCGTAGAGGTATCAACTACCTGCATACAAGCATATGCGATGGTACCAATTTTACCTGAAGATAGTCCTGCAAATAAAGTTGTAAGAGAATAAATAAGACACAACAAAGAGCTATTTAGAGTCTTCAAATTAGCACATATTTTTCTCACTTACCAGCTGCTACAAAAGTCTCAGCTGTATAGAATCCAATACCATTAATTCCAACAGATTGTTGGCACACCATTAACCCAACTCCAATCTGAAATCATTACAAACTGTTAGAAATCTCTGAGTACTACTCACATGCACTGATTGAATCTGTGCTAGAAAAGTATGGTAATACTTACAACTACCGAGCGCACATGTTTGCTTTGGAACAAATCCAGAATCTTGGTTTTAGGAAGGCTTTGAAGAGTTTCAATATAATCCTATTCACAAAAACAAAGTCAGCTCTGCTTATCAAGCATGTCAAATTGATCAGGGAACGTTTTAAAAATGTTCAATCAGTTAAGAGAGCAAGGGAAATACGAGTATGTCATCAGCTTCTTGAGAAATATCAACATCTTTTCCCCGAAGTCTCCTTAAAGCTACTTGAAGTTCTTTCTCAAGGCCAACCTTCGCCTGAACAAAAAATTATTAACTTACCTGGAAGAAGAAAACGGAAGAAACTTTTGGTTTTAGATTCTAGCTTAATGTTTACCAGCCATCTGGGAGACTCCGGGATAAAGCACAAACCAATCAGCAAGAAAATGCAAGGCACAAGTCCTTCAAAGTTCAAGCCAAGACAATAGTCAGTGAATTCCTCCATAACTGGTTATAAAGCAACAGTTCAAAGCTTATAATTATAAGTTACCTGCTAGAGCTAGTTGTCTCCAATTTAAGACACTTCCTATTAAGAATGAGAATGATGCTCCAACAACAATCATAAGCTGCAGAACAATTTTAGTTAAGGCCAAATTTCTTCTCAGTGATACTTAACATTTAGTTTTAGTCAAAGAATCAAACATAACAATTCTTATTAGTCCTCCACCTGATTTGTTGTTGCAAGCCCACCACGAAGATTTTTGGGTGCTATTTCAGCTATATATACAGGGACCTGTTCCATTTGCTATGATTTGTTACAACTTTGAAATATTATCATCGAGAAGCAACATACAGCCTGATCTCAAACATTTTGAACAAAAGTAAACGAAAAAAAATTGTGGCTATACTGTTATAGTTGGTTACCACAAATGAGATAACTCCAATTCCATATCCTGTGAAAAACCTTCCCATGTCAAGTGAGTAAGGATCCTACAGTAGATAGAATAACACAAGTGAATTTATTTTTTCCAATTTGCAACATTTTTCTATAGATGAATTTGTATTGTGCAGAAAATGCATACCTTTGAGAAGAATACAGCTAACCATCCTGTTATGCAGAATCCTGTTGAAATTCTCATTGCCTATTTCCCATTAAAAATTAAGGTTTAGCAACATTGAAAGACCCTATAGAGTACATTTAGTTATTGGAAATTTATATTTCACATACCCCTTTCCGGCCAACGAAATCCGTAATCCGGCCACTTGTTATAGCCCCAAGCATTGCACCAATTGTCACTAAAGAACCAAACATGGAAAACTATAATTCCCCACGAGATGTTATTAGTTGTGTTTCAGACTAGATATAAATCAAATGTTAACAAGAAGGGGAATTAGAATACTATCATACTAACCTCAGCAATAGATAGATTAAGATCTTCCCTGATAGCTGCTTGAGTGGGTGCTGAATAGCCCACCTGCCAAAACAATAGCTTGAGCTAAACATACAGACCTTTTTTTTTTCTTTTGTTTATTGAGTGTAATTTTGGTTTGGTTCCTAACCCAGAAAAAAAAAACACAAAAAGGAAACAGACAATTAGTGAAATGAATTTTCAGAATTTAGAATTAGTTCCTTTCTTAAGCCATGCATTATAGTATTTTGAAAGGAAAACAAAAACAAAATATAGGAATTTGTTCCTATATCTTGTTTTGGGTCTCCGTAGAAGTTTTGCACTTGAAAAAATAAAAAAGACTCCACTGCTCTGCCGATTGTAATTTTCAGAAAGCTTAAAAGATACTCACACAAGTTCCAAATGAGAAAGAACCACAAACAGCAACAAATGTGCTTAAAAGAACCATTCCAATGGATCCATTTTCCACTGTTCTATTAGATTCAACATCTTTACTGGCAGCATCAGCACCCTGCCCATGTTGAATGAATGGCTCTTGCAAATTCTGAAGCCCATTGGCTTCTCCACTCTCAACATCCTTGTGCTGCTCAATTGCCATCTTCTTCAATAGCAATATGAACTCAAAGAATGTGTAACACAAGAACAATGAAATAGCCCCCCAAGAAGTTATGAGCAACGTTATGATACTAACAGTGGACATGCAAAAACATGATGAGTATTGGATGGTATTTATAGTACATGTAACACGGCGACACTGTGGCTATAAGATATTTCCAATGTTTGATTGCATTTGTTGGAATTGAGGCGAGATAGCATGGTACAACAAGCTGTGTCAGATTGCGCATTTGGAATAGCATGTGGGAATGAAGCTGTCACTAGCAATTTGACGAGGTAATCACAAGTAGTTACAACATACC